CCTTTCCTTCTACTGACAGTCCTTCCTCCACTCATTTCCTGAGTGCCCTGCTCGAGAATGCAAGATGACTAAGGCATACTGCTTACCCGAGAGGCGCTCACAGTCGAGTGGTCTGGAAGCTTCTGGCTTCTAACACTAACAAAGACATCTTTTTCTAAGTGGTAGAAAAATGCTCTGAGGCCAGTTTTGTGTGTGTTTTGTTTTGTTTTGTGTTTGCTGTTTTGCTCTTTTTTCAATGCACTCTTTTGTTTGTTGCTGTCTTAACTGTTGCCATGTTATATTTTATCAGGTTAATGTTTTGATTTTGTGCTTGAGCCCCAAGGCAATGCAGTGAAGGGTATGATTTGGAAAATCAAGGAAACAGAGAAATTGCCCACAGAAGAGGCAGCCTCCCGGAAGCCAAGGATAAACCATAAACGCCTAAAATGAATTTCATTAGGAACAAAACCAACAACCTGTTGCCAGAGCAAAGGTATTAGATCATCCTGGTTTGGCTTGGGTTTTGTTTTTTAATTTAATACCAATTCTCCATTTCTTCCAAGGTCAGCCAAGGATGGAAGACCCAGTTCCTTCTCCACTGTCTTCTAGAAGACTTCCACATTTCTGCTTCCAGGCCTGTACTCATGGTGTGTGCCCTGCCTGCTCTGCTCTCCTCTCTTCTTCAGGAGACAGGCTGTAACCACCCTTGCACTGGCCAGTATTTATGGACCGGGGCTGGGAATAATGTGGGCAACAAGTCTGCCTTCAGGGAATTTACATTCTACTAAGGCAGGCATTCTCAACTGGGGCCATAATGCCCCAAGGGGATGAAAATTGGTTCTTGGAGGGGTAAAAACACTTTTATCTTCCTAACGTTCACTGTCTCAGTGAGTAGCCCTACCGGCCACCCAGTCAGTAACCAGGGCACGGTCATCAATTCGAGTTGCCAACCCTGAGCTCAGGCTCCTGGTTACTGATCTTGTGGCTGCCTAGTCCATGAAGGCTTCCACTCTCTCCCTGAAAATGGACCCCATCTGTCTTCACTTTCCACCCTGCCCAGCCTAGTTTCCAGGGCCAAAAGATTGGGCATCTCTTTTGCCAACACTTTAGAACGCTCTGCCCTTTTCCCCGCCCATTTGGCAAAGCCCTGGGCCTGGATAAACCCCACCAAGTACTTTCCCCTGTTTGCACGTGGATAGGTGACCCATGGTGGGGGAAATCACCCAGCTGACAGGACAGGACACGCTGGGTTGTCAGCACTGTCGGACATTTGGGGATTTTGTGGGTAAGTTTGCTCCTCAACCGTCTGAATGCACACTCTCCTCCTTCCTTCAAACTCCTCACCACCTCTTCCTCACTCTCAGCAGAAGACCTTGCCTCCCACTTTGCAGAAAAAATAGAAGCTCAAGATGAAATCTCCCTTAACATCCCACTACAAACCTACATCTACATCTGCACCCATCCTCTCTTTGTTCCTTCTTTTGGTTCTAGAGAAGTCATCCCTCCTCCTTTCCAAGACCAACCTCTCCACCTACATGCCTGATTCCATCCCCTCGCACATGCTCGTGAACATCCCTTGCTGATTATCTCCCCTCTTTCCCACACCCTTAATTAATCTCTCCCCTTGATCTGCCACCAGCCTGTAAACAAACTCAGGTCTCTTCCACCTTCTAACACACCTCCCCCATACCCCCACATAAGCTTTGACCCCGTCACAGCATCTCTCTCCTCCCCTTCACACAAATACTTCTCAAAAGACCCACTGCCTCCTTCACCCCTCCTTCACTCATCAGACCCGCTGCCATCTGACCCTCTCATCACTCTGCAGAAACAGTGCTCCCTAAAGCCACCAGCATCTGCCCGTGTCTGTCATTAACCAAAGCCACTGCTTCCATCCACATCCTTCTGACCTCTCAGAGCATTCCCCATTGACTCCTCCCACTTTCCTGAAACTCTCAGCTTCCTTCCCTTGGCTACCTTCCCTACGCCCACCCTCCAGGGTTTTCTCCCACCTCTCAGGCCCTCCTTCTCGGCCTCTGCAGGTATATCCTCGTTTGCACAGCCTCTAACCTGTGGTGTGTCTCACAGCTCCATCCTGGGGCGCCTTCTCTTTGGACAATCCAGCCCTCAACCACAGCCTCGTGATCATTTGTCTCCTGACAACTTCCCATCCTCATGTGCCTCCAAACCCAGGCCTCCAAGAGCCTACTCAACATCTACACTCAGTGTCCCAAAGGCCTTTCAAGCTCAACACATCTAAAGTGGAAGTTGCACTTTTCACGTCCCCCTCCACACCCTCCCATCCTTGCTCACCCAACACCGCCTCCCAGTGGTCTCCAGTTTTCCCCATCTCAGTGGAAACTACTGCCTGCCTGTTTGCAGGGAAACCTCAGAGTCCATCCTGACACTGTCTCTCCCTTACCTTCCATTCCCACATATCTCTGTGACGATTTTACTTCCTGATAACTGGAACCTTCCACTGCTCTCCAACTGCACTGCCACCAGCACCACCTCTGTGATATTCTCCCTGGATGCCTGCCCGTACTCCTAACCCTAACTTATCCTGCAGCTACTCATACACACACTACCCCACTCTCCACTAGGCATTCACATGGGTCACATTAAAATGCAAATGTCATCCTGTCCTTCTTGGGCCTACACTGTCAGTGGTTTCCTATCACTCGGAGGATGAAAAGAAAGATCCTTTGCCCACCTTCTGCACTCCCCAATCCCCCTGCTTTCCCTCTGGCCCTGTTACACAGGCCTTTTCTCACCTCTTCTCTAGCTGTAACTTCTGCCTCAGGCCCTTTGCACAGGTCCTTTCTTCTGCCTAGGATTTTCCCCGTACCTCATCCTCCCCTGCATATAGTTCAGATCTCCTCACAAAGATCATTTCCTTAGGAATCCTTCCCCAAGAAGAGATAGGTCCCTCCATCCTGTCAAATGCTTTCACAGTAATGGCTAACGTACACACAAGCGCAGTATTATTCTTTGGAACTCTTCTGTGCATTTCTGCTTAGAACTCACTTACTCCTCATGGCAACCCTATGAGGTAGAAATTATAATTATCTCTGTTTTATGGGTGAAGAAACTGAGGGACCAAGAAGTTATGTAACTTACCCAAGGTCACCTAGTTAATAAGACGCAAAGTGGGAATTTGAACACAGGCAGCATGACTCCAGTATAGCTTTTTTTTTTTTTAATTTATTTTTGGCTGCGTTGGATCTTTGTTGCTGCACACCAGCTTTCTCTAGTTGAGATGAGCAGGGGCTACTCTTCATTGCGGTGCACGGACTCCTCATTGCAGTGGCTTCTCTAGTAGTGGAGCACGGGCTCTAGGCGCTCGGGCTTCAGTAGTTGTGGCTCGCAGCCTCAGTAGTTGCGGCGCACGGGCTTAGTTGCTCTGCGGCATGTGGGATCTCCCCGGATCAGGGCTCGAACCCATGTCCCCTGCATTGGCAGACGAATTCTTAACCACTGCGCCACCAGGGAAGTCTCCAATTCTTCCATAAGAAAACACTATCCTTTTCCTTTCTGCACTTACTACTGTTTGTAACAATGTATTTGTATGACTATTTGTTTAGCTTTTGTCTCCCCCATTAGACTATAAGCTCTATTGGGGTAGAGACAGTTTTATCCCCAATAGTAGGTACTCAATAAATATTTGCTAAATAGCTGAATGTAAATTAGTCTCTCTCACCACATTCCATCAGTCACCTGGTCCTGTCCCTGTTTCTTCCTAGAGCAGCAGTTTCTAAGCCTAGGAGGTTCAGGTATGTGCTTATCCATGTCCTAAAACTGGAGGCAAAATGTCATGTGTCTGTACACTTCAAATTTTTCTACAGCAAAGGTTAGGTTCGTGCTGTCTCCAGTTTCTCGATGGATCCATGAAGTTAAGAACAGCTGATTCAAATATTCCCCAGCCTAGGTCACCCTCTCCCTGCCAACCTCCCCTCCACAACTATAACACCCTCACGTCCAGTTTTGTTCTCCATAAATCCATCTTCCATGCTTTGGTCATATCAATCTTTTAAAAACATAAACCCAGGTCACCCTCCTGCATAAAATCCGTCAGAGACTATCTATTGTCCTTGGAGCAAAGGTGCAAACTGTGGCTGGGGGGAGGGGGTGCACTAGGCCCTGCTAACTTCTCCATCCTTTTGTGTCCTCACTCATTCCCTTAACCCTCCAACTCTACAGCCCAGCAGCACAGACTTGGATTTATATCTGGGTTTCCCAGCCTGTACCAGGGTGGTTTCTCGCGTCTATACTCATGCAGTGCCCTCTGCGTGGGATGCCATCCCTCTCCTCTGCACCTAGAAATTCCTACTCCATCTTTAAGCTTAAGCTTAGATATCTTCCTGGGGTCAGGGGCCCCTCCTTCTTTCTCTCACAGGCTGTATCTGTCCCGGACAATGCACAGAAGACATTGAACCATAGTTGCTTGGTTACCGACTGTCTCTCTCCTCTCTGTGAGCTTTGAGGGCGGCTGCCATATCTTATTCATCTTTTTATCCCACAATCCTAGCCTAGCGCTAGCCCAAGGTATGGTGCTCAGTAAGTATTTGTTCAGTGAATGAATGAACAATGACAAATAGTACTTGGTTTATGGGTTCTAAAACACCTGTGAAATGAATAAATGAGTGGGTAACTGCAAGTTCGGGTCTAGAGAGAGCTGGAGATTAGGATGTTCAGAGATGAGTAAAACCTGACCGCAGCTGTCAGACAGCTGAGTGGAAGACAAATCTCCTCCAGGAACGAGTCCGAAGGATTTAAGAGGAAGTCATTCGAATCGTGGCCGGCCCAGGAGGCGTATCCGGGTCTGACCACGCCCTCCCAGCCAATGGGAGGTCTTGTTGTCCTCCCTGCCTCCGCCCCTTACACCCACCGGAGAGGGGCCGGCCACTCCTGGAGATAAGACTACATGTTCCGGCGTGCCGCGCGGCGGGTGAAGGAGGAGCCGGAAGTGGGGGGCGCGAGGTCTAAGGGCAAGAGGGAAGTGGCGGGCGGGGACTGAGGGGGGCGTGCAGGTAAGCCGACAAGCCGGGGGTTGCGGGCATGGCCGAGGCCAGGAAGCGGCGGGAGCTGCTTCCCCTGATCTACCAGCATCTGCTGCAGGCGGGCTTTGTGCGCGCGGCGCGGGAAGTGAAGGAGCAGAGCGGCCAGGTAAGCGTGCCCGGGCCGTGTGCGAGGGCCGCGTGCAAGATCTGAAGAGAGGAGGCCCGCGCCTCCTCCCCTGGCGGCCTGGAGGGCGCCCAGAGCCGGATACCCGCGGTGATCCGGGACGCGGCCTGGGGTGCCGAAGGAGGCTCAGCCTCTGCTCCCCACCCCTGCGGCTCCCAGTTCTTATGGGCCTCAGTTTCCCTGTCTGTGCACTGGGCGGGCCGGGACGTGAGATATGACTCTCAGGGCTTTATAATTCCCGCGCCCCTTACCTCCACGCCCTTCCTGGGAGCGGCAGTTTAAAGTTTCCGAAGTCTCGGGCCACGTGGCTCGGCGCGGCTCCTTGGGGCGAGAAGGTTGCTGCGAGTCTGAGAGGTGGATTGCGACCAGCTCTGGTGGGGCGAAAGAGCGCCGAGAGAGGGGGTCTGAAGCCCCTTAATTGAGCTGGAGCTCAAGCCCTTAGCAGCCCTTCTGTACTGAGTCGGACAGCTTTGGGATTCGAACTCGTGGTGCAGTCATTTCACTTCATCTGTTCTTTGAGCAGCTGGTAATCTGGCGGTCAGAGTGCTGGTGACAGAATAGTGAGCACGGTCCCTCAATTCACTGTTTAGAGTTTACAGTCTGAATTTGGTAGCGGAGATAGACATAAATCAAAGAACCATAAAAGCACCCGTACACTTAACACTGTCTTAAGTGCCAAGAACGAGAGGCATAGGGTGCTAAGACAAGAATGGCAGCTTGCCCTCGTCAGGGATATCCAGGGTTGCTTTCCTGAGGAAGTGGATGTTGCTTTGAGATCTGAGAGAAGGGAGGTGGATATTCCAAGCAGAGGTGCAAATGGTTGCATATGTACTGCCCCAGAAAGTTGACTGAAGTGTGGAGTACAAGGGTGATAGAGGTCCCCGGGGAGACAGAGGAAGGGAGTTGGCTTACTTTGGTTTTCATCTGAAGAGCAGTGGTAAGCCACGGGGAAGTTTTAAGCTGGTATGGTGGCTACTGACTTGGTTAATCAGTACCCCTTGGCTGTGGTGGAGGCTGTGGTCATGATGCTTGCTCTCAGGACCTCCTGGAGAAACTAAAGGCTGATGGGCCTTACGACATTACCTGTGCTTTTTCCAGTTTTCTTTGGACCTCGGTAGCCCTTCTTACTCCAGTTAACATGACTTAACAGCTACAGGGGGTGAAGGAGAATACCCATCTGCTTTGGGGCATTTACCTAAGCAAAAGCATCCTGCCCTCATGGAGCACACGTTCCAGCAGGAGCCGAAAGATGACTGATTTTTTTTTTTTTAAAGTTAATGATACAGTGTGTGGGGTGATGGTAGGTGCTAGCTATAAAAATAAGGCAGGTGTGGGGGGATAAAGAATGTCAGAGTTAAATTATCTATATAGGGTGGTCAGGAAACCCCAATGAGAAGGTGACATTCGGGCAAGGACCTGAAGGAAGTGAGGGAGTGAGCCGTAGAGTTGGCAGGAGAGAGCATTCCAGACAGAAAGAATTGCAAGCCCCCATGCGGGCGGGGTGCCCTGACAGATTTGAGGGACAGTGAGGAGGCCAGTGTGCCAGGGGCAGAGGAGAGTGAAACTGACACTTTCAATTACTGTCAGTTACAGTCTCAATGTTACTGGCTCCTGTGCTGGGCTAGATGGTCTCCATCAGGCCTGACAGCAACATCTTAGGTGGGTACTGCTGTTATCCCCATGTTAGAAAGAAAGAACCAGAAGTTTGAAGAGGTGAAGAGAGTAGCCCATCCAGTTAACACAGGCGCTCTGCCTGAGTCCAGGTGCACCCTCTTGACCACTCTGCCTAAATCCCCGGCACTGCCCTCGCCCCACATTACTCACTCAACCTCCTTGGGGCACTTGACACCCCAGGTTCTTGATATTTGCAGAGAGAATAGGCTTCTGATCTTGGCTCCAAAGGCCTCTGCTTCTACCAAAGGACTGGCACCATTTGGTTCCAGTCTCTTCCCAGCGGGTGAGCTGACAGCGCGGTGTCTGGGCTGTGGTTCGTACTGTCCTGGGGAGATTGACCAGCCTGGCTTTTGAAAGCCTTCTGAAAGGTCAGGGGTAGAAAAAGCCCTATCTCGTGGCATCTAAGCCTGGAGAGTGCCAGGGAGGCTGGGGGCTGGATAAATGCTAGCCTGGAACATTCCAACTCTAATCTTCAAAGGTACTCCTCACCAACGTGTTGTCTTAAAAGGTTTTAGCTGGAAATACTTGCCCTGCTTGTCTCTGGAAGGTTTGGGTGGTACTGGAAGGGTCAAGCAGACATACTTCCCAGAGCAGAAAGACCCCCTTCTCAACCACCTCTCTGTAGATGATGACGTTGAGAGAGTGGGGCCCAAGGAGGACCCTTACTGTGCTTGGGGGATTGATTGCTGCTTTCTCTTTACTTCTCTGCAGAAAAGTTTCCTGACTCAGCCTGTAACCCTTTTGGACATCTACACACACTGGCAACAGTAAGTCTAATGGGACTGAGAGAGTACAGCAGGGACACTGCAAGCCCTCAGCTTGGGATCAGCTAGGTTACTAACCTGGTCTAAGATCTGTCCCCATAGCCCACCGTAGATACTGTTAGCACCTCCAGGAAGCCAGGTCACAGATACGGGTGTCTGGTAATGGAGAGGACACTGAGCTGTGATCAGTGCCTCTTAAGGACAAAAGCTTCTCAGCAGCTTTTATTATTCATTCAATCAGTAAACATTTATTGAGTAACTACTGAATGCCAGGCTTTGTTCTAAGTACAAAGGTATTGTCATGAGTGAGACATACATGGTTCCTTCTTTCCTGGAGCTGACATTGGAGTCCAGGGAGGTAAGCACACCTCAGAAAAAACAAATGAGTGTAAAATTATAGTGGTAGTAAGGGTTATGCAAAGAGGTGCCCAATGCCAAAACTACCTAAACAGGTTAGCCTAGCCTCATTTGGGGGTTTAGGGGAGGCTTCCCCGAAGTGACCTTTGATTTGAGAGCTGCAGGTAGTAGGGGAGTGAACGAGGCAATAGGTGTGGAGGGGCTAGTAGAGCGTACCTGGCAGAGGGAACTACTGGTCTGAGGCCTGTAGCTGCGGGCACAGTGCAGACGAGGCTGGACCGTAGGCAGGGCCCACTCCATGCAAGGCCTGATCATCTATGGGGAGCAGTTGTGTCTTTGCCCCAAGAGCCGTGGGAGCCATGGAAGGGTGAAGCAGAGAGTGGTGAGATCACTGCAGCGTGGCACGACCAGTCGAGGCTGTGGATATCATTATCCAGGCAAGAGCTGACGGAGCTTGAGGCAGTAATAACATGGGAGGGAGACAGTAGAGTCCAGGAATGTGAGAGGATGAGATGAGGGTCTGCGGATGGCTTGGAGAGGCAGTCTAGTCCACTCCCAGGTGTCTGACTTGTACACCTGAATGGAAGGAACCCAATTTGGAGGGAAAGATTTCAAAGACATGTTGAATGTGAAATGCCTGTAAAACCTGGGAAACAAGGAGGGGAATAATCTAAGGACGTATCAGCAGAGGAATGGTTTGAAAATGAAGGAGGGATAATCATTCTCTCCATGAACTGGCCTGACCACAGCCAGCTACGGGAGTGAAGGACCTGCAGTCATGTCCCATGAGGAATGATAGTGAATACTGAACCGTCTGGGATGGGAAAGAGATGTCAGAGGGGCAGGCAAGGGACCTCTGTATGCACATCTTTGAAGACAAAGGGAGTGGGGTGTTCCCTGGGGCCCGAGAGGCTGAAGTGGGACCCACATGTACCTGCTTTAGGAAGACAGGTTTCAGCTTCTGAATAAAAGCAGTGGGTCATCAGAGCTCTCCAGAAATGAGGTAGGCTACAGTGGAGTTGTGAGTTCCTTGTCATCAGAGGTGTGTAAACAAAGGCAGGCATGGTGTGGAAGGGATCCGAGCTTCCAGTAGAGAGCTAAGGTCTTTGAGAGCCCCATCAACCCTCAGTTCTTGGCTCTCCTCTGCTGCTGAGGTGAGCACAGGGCACACCCCCACTTCCTTTCGCACTTGCCTAGGTGTCTGTGTGTTTGCACAGCACTTCCTTCCCCAGAGAACTCCTTCAGTGAGCCGCAGCGCACGCCCTTCCCCGCCACCAGCCCCTTCTGTGGGTGAGGAGTACTGACTGGGGTGAGGACCTCACAGCCTAACCTAGTGGTTCAAACCCAGCAACTAGCCGTATGACCTTGGACAAACTTGGCCTCCCCAAGTCTGTCTCCATCCATAAAATGAAGATAATAATGGTAAAGTGCTAAACCTAGCCATTGGAGGCATCCCCCTCCCACCCCCACTCACCTCCGTATTTATCGAGCACTTACTGTGAGCCAGAACTGTTCTTGATATAGCTGGGAACAAACCAGAGAAAAATCCCTGCCCTTGTGAAACTTACATTCTGTTGGGAGGAGAGAGGCAGAGTGAACGGATACATGTAGTAAATGAAACCTGTTTTTGCAGAAGATTCCCTGGGAACAAGGGACCCAAGCAGCACATCCCAAACTGGCAGAGCAGCATCCGTCCCATCTGGAGAACATGGGGCACAGACAGTGACTCCCTCGGGGCAGGAGGCTGGGGTCAGGGGAGATGATGCTCGAAAGTTCCAGCAACTCAGCCATCTGGGTGCTTATCCTCCCCAGTGCCTGAGACTTACTCTTTGACTCTGGGCAACTCACTTGCCCGTGAGACTCATGCTATGTGCTCAAGGTACTGAGGGAGCTGGAAAAGGTTCCTGCCAGCCCTCCTCTCCAGGGACCTGGCTGTGCAGTGGGGGCTTCAAGCAGGAAGTAGGTAAAATAACAGGAGAGAGGAACGTGCTCTGAAGAAAATGAAACAGGATGGCAGGGCAGAGAATGTCTTAGGGGAGGGGGGGTGATCAGGGAGGGCCTCTCTGAGGAGGCTGTATTCGAGTTGAGGCCTGAAGGACAATGGGGACCGACCTGGGCAGACTCTTCCAGGAAGAGGGCACTGCAGGTGCCACAAGTTCTGGAGGAAGGAGGAGCCTGGATGGTGCTGTGAAGTGTCTGTAGTGCCGGCACTTAGCGCTCAGTGACTCTTAGCAGCTGTTATATAATATTGTCCACCCTTCCTGAATATTTGAAGACTCATAGACAATTGTAAAAATACGATGAAATGAGTGAAAATGCAGAACACAAAATTGTATCTAACACTGTGTTTCATCACTGTTTAAACTCTCTTCATGCACGTTTCCTTTGGGGGCAGGGAGGATGTGGGGAGGTCTTCCTTTTCAACTCTCCTGGGGTTGTCCTTGTCACCCGGTTGAACTAGCCAGTCACCCTTGTCCTGCAGAACCTCGGAGATTGGCCAGAAGCGGAAGGCAGAGGAAGATGCAGCCCTGCAGGCCAAGAAGACCCGCGTGTCAGACCCCATTACCAGCTCCGAGAGCTCAGAAGAGGAGGAGGAGGTGGCGCAGGAGGCAGAAGCAGGAACCACCAAAGCCAGTAAGAGCGCTGTGTGCCAGGGGCTCAGCTCAGCGCCCTGCACCTTTCGGGAACAGGCTGTTGTATATTGGATTGTTCCAGGGGAGGGTCCACCTCCAGCTTCTCCTTCAGTGAGCCCTCAGAGGACCGGCCCTTTTAGAGGGAAGGTTGGAAGGGTCCCACATACCTATTTCAGTCTTGATTTGAGCCCTTCCTCTGGGCCAGACATCGTGTCCCAGGGGCTAGGAATCCAATGGTGAACAAAAACATGGATGGGCCCTTACAGTCTAATTTGGGGTACGTGGAGTCAGCCCCTCCAGTGGGGCCCAGGAGCTGCATTTTTACAAGCCCTCCAGGTGATTCTGGTAAAGACAGAAAGAAGCCCACATTTTCAGAAGAACTGCTAGAGAGATTTCAGAGAGGGCAGCTGGTGGGCACCTCTTCTGTGTGCTTACGGGCTGCTTCAGGAGTTGCCGATCTTCCTGTTATTTTGGAAGTGTGCAGGTTAGCACTGGCAGGCCATCCCGGGCACTGTGGTTTCAGGGTGTTGGCAGGGGTGACCCGGGGAGGCCTTCACAGCCCCTTCTCCCCATGTTCTCAGGGCAGTTTGTACTTTAACCAACAGTGGTCATAGCTCCACAGAGGAATTATCGTTCTTTGCATTATTGGTTTTTACTTACATAGAAGATAATTTCTTAATTTTTAAATATGTTTTCTGATTGTAAAAGAAATACAGGCTTTGTTATGGAGTATTCATTATAGAATATGTGAAAATTACTTTTCAGAAAGGTAGGGAAAAATTACCCATATTCTTGCCACATATAATTTGGCAAATTATTCTTCCATTTATTTTTCCTGAACATGTTTTTTCAAATACTTGAGATCATACTGAATATGCATTTTATACCTTGCTTAATCTTTTAAAATTATAATGCAAAGCAAGTTCACTGTGAACTGTATAAAAGCATACAGAAGAAAAGTGGGAGGTTTCCTGTTCCCCTCGCCTGCTCCCCTTCCACTCCCTAAATGTATCTCCTGGAGGGTAGCCTTACAGTGCTCTCCTTTGTATCTGAAATCATACAGATAGACATCCACATTTGCCTACGTCCATACCTACACACTATTTAAAACAAAAATTGTAAAGTTTCCTACTGACGGGCTACTCGATATTAATAAATTTTTTAAGCTCTAATAATGGAATTATAATTATACTTTTTAAGAGTCCTCATTGAGAGAAACATGCTGAAATAGCTGTGGGCAGCATGGTATGATGTCTGATGTTTTCTTCAGAATAATACTCAGCAGGGAAGGGCGAATGGGGGGACAGTTGAAATAAGATTGGCCACAAGTTGATAACGGTTGGGGCAGGGTGGTTTTGTACACTTTCTCTCTACGTAGGAACGGGCTTAACATTTTCCATGATTAAAAATAGAGAGAGATGGAATTAAATGTCAGGAAAAGAATTAGATCATATCATTCATCTCAACAACATCCTGTTTATTTCACAGCATACATTAGAAATCTTTCCCTAATCTGAGCTCTAAGGAGATGATACCCCCGTGTAAAAGCAACAAGAATCTGGAAATCTCGACATCTAACAGGGTCCCGGTCTCATGGTTCAGCTACTTCTCCACTGAGAAACCGCTTAATTCGAGCAGCTTTCTCTGTGGACCTGGGGCTGCCTGACCTGCTCCTGTCTCGCTGAGTGACGTTAGGGCTGCAGTGTGGCAGGTAGCCTGTGGGAATGGCACCCCTGGAGTTGTGCGGGACCTCCGGGGTAGTATGCGGCAGGACTAGGAGCCAATCCCTTTTCCTCTGGGGGCTTCAGCATCTCGTGCCACCAGGGAATTGGGACCCCATCGGGGATGCAGACACATGGCTTTCATGTCGTCACTCTCCTCTCTCGCTCCTGGGGGATGTGGCTGATGCACCACCGAGCTCTTTCCCAGTCCAGGCTCAGCCTCAGATCTCATGCCAGCCCCAGGCAGCCATACCAGTTGAATTATTAGGTGAGCTGAGCCTGTTTGCCGCTCACCCATGAGAACATGCTCATCTGGCTCACCCAACCAGTGTTTGTGTCTTGCAGTCCCGGCACTAGCATCTACCAACTCCTCAGCCACGGGGATGGTTTTGCCTTCAAGTGTGAAAGAAAAAGCCAAGGTGAGTGAGACCACCTTCCAAGCTGTCGCCTGTGGGAGTTGAAGTGCCCTGTAGGACATAGTCCCCTGTGTCAGAGAAGGATAGGGTTGTGGGTAATTGCCCAACCCTTGGATTGGATTCAGATCTCAGCCTCAGTCGCAGTGTGATTGTGGTCTGTCCCTTCACCTCTGTCGGCCTCAGTTTTTTTTTTCTGTAAGATGGGGATAATACCTACCGCCATGGGCCACTGGGCACATTACACACCTGGAAGAGACAGTTCCTTTCCTCCTCCAGCCCTGCATTCACCTGTTCACTCGGCAAATCGTTACCAATACAGTTATGTTCCAGGCACTGCACAAGGCAGTGGAGACACCAGAGCAGATAAGACACTGGTGGCTCTGAAAGCTTGAGAAGCATTTTATTTTGGGGTTTTTTTTTTTTTTTTTTTGGTTGTTTTTGGCCGTGCCGGGGGGCTTGTGGGCTCTTAGTCCCCCGACCAGGGGTGGAACCTGTGCCCCCTGCAGTGGAAGTGTGGAGTCCTAACCACAGAACCACCAGGGAACTCCCTCAAGAATCACTTTCTAGGCTGGAAACTACTTGGAAAGTAGAGTATCCTTTTTTGGTCATCCACAAAGCAGTGTCACAGGCACGTAAAGGATTATGTCCCTGATATTGCCTGTAGCATTAGCAAAAAATATGTAGAAAGAATTATGAGGCCATGGTAATGTCCACAACAAAATGCTCCTTACCACTGAGCAAAAACTGCTGTGTCCCAAGAACTGTAATTCGGTTCTCTCCACACCTCTGTGAGGGGAGGTACCATTTTTAGCCCCACTTTGCAGATGAAGAAACTGAGGCTTAGGGAGGTAGTGTGCCCAAGCTCACAGGGCTAGGAAGTGGTGGAGCTGGGCTCAGATGTGGTCTGTGCTCTCATTTGCCAGGCCATACCCACTGTCTGTCACTCCTGTTCTGTGTAGGCAAAGACCAAGAAAGCCAGCAAGACAGTGAACTCCACGGCACACCCTGCCTCCGGGAAGGCAGTGGCCCACCTCCTCACCAGGAAGTCACCCCAGAAGGCGGCAGGGCCCTCGGCAAATACCATCCTGGTCTCAGAAACTGAGGAGGAGGGCGGTGTCTCGGCCCTCAGAATCACTGCCAAGCCTGGTGAGCGGCCCTGCCCCTAGGACCAGGCCCCCCGAGTGCGGGCTGAGGAAGCAGACCTGGGCGCTGCTTTGTCAGGCCCTGGGACCCTCTGGAATTCAGGAGGTTGTCTCTGTGACAGCGAGGACCGCCACCTCAGGCCATTTTCCCCTCCCTGTGTGAGGAAGAGTCAGCTGCAGGGACACCTCAGGCCTTGCGAGGGAGTGTGAGCAGCCGGGGTGGGCTTGGAGCCCTTTCTGGTTTATTGCTCTCAGGTGGGTGCAGGGCCTGCTGCAGAGGCTCAGAGGCTAAGCTGAGAGGCCTGGGCTTGCCTCCATCTCCCATGTAAAATAGGCGTCTGCCCTGCCTGCTGCTGTGTGCTGGTGGAAGGAGATCATCTGAGCCATCAGCTTCTGGCGCTCGTGTGCCGGGACCTAACATCACAGGCCTTACCAGGGCCTCAGAGCCGCGCAGGAGCTGCGGCGGGAGCGCTCACACCTGGCCCTGAGTAGTTGGCGTGGAGGGTGCCGGTGAGGGGCGGGTGGGTCTGGAAAGGCCCTCAGTCCCTCCTTGTTTATTCCTCAGGAATGGCGGCCGCCAGCCAGGCCGCCAGCTCCAGCGAAGACACCTCCGGCTCGAGCGATGAGACGTACGTGGAGGTAATTGCCGCCCGTCCTCAGGAGCTGCCCTCTGCAAACCTCTAACCCTCCTGGGGGCCTGGCCGAGGCCTCACCTACTAGGGGCACCAGATCAGTTCAGCAAGGGTGTCAGGGTGACCGGGAGCTGGGAAGGCTGAGGCCTGCGGAGGCGGGGAGCCAGGCGCTGCTCACTGCACTCTAGGCAGGCGAAGGTGTGGGGCTGGGGGGAAGAGACGCCATCCTGCCTGTGAGGTGGGGGGAAGCCTTCCTGGGATAGGCAGCACTGGACTGCGGCCTTGACGCACAGGAGGCTTCACCGGGGAGGGAGGTAGAGGGAGGGGTATTCGAGCGGGAAGAACTGCAGGAGCAAAGGCCCCGGGGCAAAGGCCCGGGGGCAGGAGCATGGCTGTCCAGGGCATTGGGGTGTGGATGAGGCTGCTGCGGAGGCTCTGGGCCTGCTGGTGAATGCCAGGCCTCAGCACTGGCCAGGGCTAGGCAGGTCTTTTAGTCAGTGGCCGTGTCTATTTTGTGAACCGTGACCTGGGAGGAGTCCCCGCTGGTTATTCCTTATTGTGCACCTTCCAAGCGCCAGGCCTTGGGGAAACAGTGGTAAGCAGGACAGGTGGGGTTCCTGCTGCCGTGGGGAAGTGGAGGGGTCCCTCAGAAACTTAACTGCCGTGGTGATGGTTACTATGAAAGGGAAATGTGGAGAGCTCTGAGGCGCAGTAACAGGAATGTGACGCAGACAGAGGGACAGCAGGGGCAGAGGCAGACACAAAATGAGTTTGGTGCTTTTAAGCAACGGTGATCTGCAATTTCATGAATGAGGTGTAAAGTGATACAAGGTGAGGTCAGAAGTAGGCGGGGCCAGATCCATGCCTGACCACGAGGACTGCTGAGAGGAATTTGGGTTTTATTCTGGAGGCTGTGAGAAGCCACTGCAGGGCTACAGGCCCAGTGGCAAGGTGGCCTGACTTACGGTTCGGAAAGATGGCTGCTTGTGGCCTGGATCGGAGGACAGTGCTGAATAGATATAATGACGTGGTTGAGGGCTGTTGGAGTAGTGCTGGCAGGAGACGCTGGTGCCTGGCGCCAGGACACCCGGGGAAAGGTGTTGCAGAGGGAGAAAAGTAGCATTCAGGGATGGATTGGCCTGGCCCCCACGGTGCTTCCTACCTTGCCTTCCTGCCTTAGCCAGTCACCCACGAAGGTAGAGACCTTGCTCCCAGCTACCCCGGGCCTAGCTGTGGGCTGCTCCCCACATTCTGTCCCACCATTGGGCCCTCGTTACAGCCAGCCGTAAGGACGCCCTGGGCTCCCATCCCCCAGGCCCTGCCAAGGAAACGAGCGACACTCCTGGCCCTGGGAAACCAGCAGCCAAACACATAGCTTCAGTGGGCCAGAGCCCAGAGAGGGAAGGAATGTGCCCCAGGAATCCCAGCAAGCCAGTGCCAAGACTGGGGTTCAGAGCCTAGCCTCCTGGCCCTTGGGGTGGCCACCATGACAAGATACTGTAGCTGGAGGGACAGTCATGAGCTGTCCTGGTTGAGAGTGGCTGCCCCTCTGCTGGGCCCTGTGTGCCAGGTGGGAGAGGAGCATCATGGTTGAGAGCTGTGCCCCCAGAGCCATATAGACATGGGTTCAAGTCACAGCTCTGCCCCTTAGTACTGGTGTTGAGTGGTTTAACCTCTCTGAGCCTTTTGCCCTTTACTGGAAAATAGGTGTAAAGATAGTACCTGTCTTAGGGAGTTGTTTGAGAACCAGATGACATTAGGAAAGAGCTTTACAAACTATGAAGCATCTTATACTCCTCAGGGGTGGAGAGGATTATTCTCTGATTCCATCGCTTTGTTCCAGGTGAAACCTGCAGTGAAACCACCACAGGTCAAAGCCTCGGCAGCTGCGGCCAAGGAGTCTCCAAGGAGAAGGGCAGCCCCGACCCCAGGGAAGGCGGGATGTGTGACACCCCAAGTCAGAGGGGGTGCCGTGACCCCAGCCAGCAGGGCCAAGAAGCCAGAAGAGGTCTCAGAGAGCAGCGAGGAGTCCGAGAGTGAGGAGGGGGCCCCTGCGGGGACACCCAGCCAGGTGAGGCCCAAGGGAGGCCTGCTCCTCAGGGTTCCCTGGTTCCCTGGCCCCGAGACTGGTGGAGAAACTGTGTAATGAGCACCTTCCCTGCCAGAGGAGACTCGCCTTGGAGTTTGGGGAGAGGGAGGCGGGGCTATGGGAGTTGAAGGGCAAGGGCACCTGATTTTGCTCCACCCGCTTCTGGAAATGACCTTTCCTGTCCAAGCAGTGGCCTGGAGTGGCTGCTTCCCGAAGGGCAGGTGCTGCACCCCACCCAGTCAATAACCACTCCCTTCACCTCAGTTTCCCTGTCTAGTAAATGGGCTGCTGTCCTTGTCCCAGCTAGTCCTGCTGTGAAGGGACTTGGGAAGTTTTAATTACCTGGTCCTCTGGCTTCTCAGGCCAAATCATGGCTTGTTAGCAAACAGGAATCCGCTTCCATTCCATCTGCTGGGACCCCCTTCTCCTCGCTTGGGTAGCCAGAGCTGCAGCTGGGCATGTCCTAAGGGAAAGCCAGAGAGGCTGGGAAGCTGTTGGAATCAGAGAACAGGGAGGAATAGGGGTGAGACAGGTGGTAAAAGGCCCCTGGGAGCCCTGAGCCTGCCCACCCTGGGGCAAGGCCATCATGGAGAACTGCTATAAGGAACTGGGACCCAGGGGATGAGGAGTAGTGGTCAGGTGAAATGGGCAGGGGTTGTGAAGGCCCCGGGAATGAGGAGGTATGGCCATACTGGCTGGCCGGCCATACCGGCTGGAGCACCAGTCAAGGTGGGGAGTCCAGAGAGAAGCAGGGGGTCTTGCGAGCCACACTAAGGCTTCGAGCCTTATTCTTAAGGTGTCACAAGGGGGTTTTCAGAAGGAGGGGAGCAAACTGCACTTTCTCTTTTACTAGGTGAAGACCTCCCAGAAACCTGTCCAGGTCAGAGCTGCCTCGGGTCCTGCCAAGGGGACCCCTGGGAAGGGGGCCACCCCAGCACCCCCTGGGAAGGCAGGGAGGCCAGAGGAGGACTCGGAGAGCAGCAGCGAGGAGTCAGACAGCGAGGAGGAGACGCCAGCTGCCCAGACCCTGCTGCAGGTGAGGCCTGGGGAGGGAGAGTCCCACAGCCAGCGCCCCATCCCAGGAGGCCTTCAGAGGGCTTGTTCTCTCGCTCCGCATGCACCCCAGCCATGCTCAGAGCCCTGCGCCTTCTCACCATGTGGTGTGGTGTCTGCGGTGTCCTTAACCCTGTCCGCTCTCCTGTGTTTCCTCACGCCCACCGTCTAGGCTCCCTCCCCTGATACTGTTTCTCTCGCTCCAGGCAAAGCCCTCAGGGAAGCTCCCCCAGGTCAGAGCCACCGCAGCAGCACCTGCCCAGGTGCTTTCCCCTGGGAAAGGGGCCCCTCCAGCACCCCGTGGCAAGGCAGGGCCTGCAGCCATCCAGGCCCAGACCAGGGGGCAGGAGGAGGACTCAGAGAGCAGCAGCGAGGAGTCAGACAGCGAGGGGGAGGCGTCCACAGCCGTGCCCCACACCACGAGCCTGGCTCAGGTGAGGCTGGAAGGATGCCCGGCCCGGCCCTGTGCGTCGCCTGAGAGACCCTGTGGGCCTCTCCTCCTCTGCACCCGGAACTGCTGCCCTCCATCCGCCCTGCGCACCTCCTGTCTTACCTCACACACATTCCTCCCAAGCCCCCTATCCTGACCCTGTCCTTTGTCACTCCCAGGCAAAGCCCTTGGGGAAAAACTCCCAGGTCAGAGCTGCCTCAGCCGCAAGCACGGGGCCCTCAGCGAAGAGCGCTGTCCCAGCGCTCCCTCAGAAGGCAAGGGCTGTAGCCGCCCAGGTGGCAAAGTGGGAGGAGGACTCGGAGAGCTGCAGCGAGGAGGAGTCGGACAGCGAGGGGGAGGCGCTGAGAACAGCAGCCTTGACCCAGGTGAGGCCCCTGCTGTCAGGCTCTTCTCTCCGGCTCAGTGCCGGAAGCCCCATCCCCCTCCACTCACCTTGCCTGTTGACCCTCTCTGTCTCTTTGTCTCTGCGTCTCTGCACAAAGCCACACTTTGGGTGCTCTCCCCTGAGCCTGTGTGTCTCGCTGCAGGCAAAGTCCTCGGGGAAAGTCCTGCAGGTCAGACCTGCCTCAGGTCCCACCCAGGGCCCCCCTCAGAAGGCCGGGCCTGCAGCCGCCCAGGTCAAGACCCAAAGGTCCAAGGAAGACTCGGAGAGCAGTGAGGAGGAGTCAGACAGTGAGGACGAGGCCCCCACAGCCAAGACTCCAGCCCAGGTAGCTGCCCCCGCCGGGGGAGCAGCTCCACAGGGAGCTGTGGGGGAGGATGGCAGTGGGGCTCCAGCCCTGAGCGGATGAGGGCTCTGAGTCCAAGATCCTTCTGTAGCTTCTGACTTCTGTGTCCCTTCAGGCAAAATCAGCTGTGAAAACTTCTCAGACCAAGGTCTCCCCAAGGAAGGGCACCCCCATTACACCCGCATCTGCCAAGGTCCCACCAGTGCAAGTAAGCGCACCAGCCCCCTGGAAAGCAGGAACGGTGACTTCGCCAGCCTGCACATCATCCCCAGCCGTGGTCAGGGGCACCCAGAGGCCAGAGGAGGACTCTTCAAGCAGCGAGGAGCCAGAGAGCGAGGAGGAGACGGCTCCTGCCACATCTGTGGGACAGGTGAGGCGAAGTTCGTTTGGCTGGGTCAGGGCTAGCCCCCACGTGGTCCTTTGGCTCCTGTGACATGCCTCTTTTCCATGTCATTCCAGGTGAAGTCTGTAGGGAAAAGCCTCCCGGTGAAAGCTGCCTCAGCGCCCACCAAGGGGCCCTCAGGGCAACGGACCACTCCAGGGCTCCCTGGGAAGGCAGGACCTGCCGTGGCCCAGGTCAAAGCTGAGGTGCAGGAAGACTCAGAGAGCAGTGAGGAGGAGTCGGACAATGAGGAGGCGGCCTCAGCTGCAGCACAGGTGAGACCTGGGAGGAGCCAACCTGCCCCACCCACACCGTCCCCTGGGATGGGGCTGAGGATGCACTTACCTAGGCTGCTCTTGCCCCAGGTGTGCAGCAGCCTCAGCTCAGCCTCATTCCACACCTTCCACTCATCTCCTCCGCCCATCAGAGCTCCAGGGTCGAGCTCTAGGGTCTCCTTCGTCACCTTTTGAGCTCCCACTGAGATTTCTTTTTACACAAGCTCTGTTAAGTACCCCATCTGCCAGGTGCCAACTTATCTGGGGCTCCTTTGGCCCTGGCCCTTGGAGTTGCCAGCCTAGATAGGGGGGCGTGGACATGTACAGATTATTTCAGTGTGGTATGATAGTAGGGTTGAGATGGAGGATGTGTGCCTAGGCTGGCAGGGCGTGGCACGTGATGGTGTCTAGAGGTTTTTCGGTAGAGAAGACCTCTTGAAGAAGTGACATCTAAACTGTGGGCTGAAAGAGTTGGCCAGGTGATGTGGAGTGTTCCGGGCAGAGAAACCAGCCTGCGCAAAAGCCAGGGGGTGGGAGAGTGCCTGGCTTTGTGAGTTTCCCCAAGCAGAACATTCTGGTGGGATCACTAGGGGAGACCATGTGAATGGCGAATGGTGGGAGGTTTGGAGCCAGGCTGCCTGGGTTCAAGTCCTAGCTCCACGTCCTAGCAAATGAAGTAATCCATTAGGGCCTCTGTTTATTCTTCTGTAAATTGGAAATCAACCTGCGCAGAGTTGAGAATTTGATGAGATCTCAGCTGCCACACCCAGCAAAGGGCCTGCACACAGCAAGTTCTCATCCGTCTCCCTGAGGGAGCAGAATCAAGAGGTGCCTTCCAGCCTGGGAGAGTGGAGAGAAGTGAAGATATCTCACTCCCTGCATTCACCCACCCACCATTTATTATTTTTAATTGTCACTCTTTTTTTCACTAACCACTCAAATTAGTCATTTCTTGTTTCCTTGTACCAAAGCACACATTTTTATGGATTTTTTTTTTTTTTTTGGTCCTGATCTCACTATTATCTTGCAGGACCCAAGGTCCTATCATTCCTTTACTGAGATTTTAAACTATTCTTGGCCTTCCCAGAGTCTCAGGTCAGTAGTCTCCTATGCTGTTTTTCCAAGCTACAGACATATTCCAGACCAATGCCTTAAAAGTTTCAGTGTGCCGATCACTTAATACCTGTCTTCGCATTTGAGCCTCCCACCTGTACCATGAGACGGTGTTCATTTACTTTGGTTTCTGGAAGAGGAAATTGGAACTTAGAGGAGTTGTGTGGTGACTTGCTCCAGCCCCACCAGCGCCTGCCTCCAAAGCCTTTGCCTTTCCCACTTCCTTCTGCTATATCTTGGCCAAAACTTTTCCAGCCACAGAAATGGTCATACTTTGGGGCCTTATTTTCTGTCGTAAAATTGAGCAGCCAGTCCCTCTCTATAGGGGCGTAGCCTTTATAGCCTGATGCTCTGTCAGTAGCTACTGCCTTTCCTAGCTTCAAGAGGTCTGAAGAGCTTCTGCTAAAACAAGCAGGGCTGATAGGAGTCTTGTTGACCACCTTCTTTTCCTCGCCTTCATCTGAAGGATGAGGATAATAACTGTCTCTGTTGTGGGGTTATTATGAGGATTGAAATAATACTTGTATGGCCTCACCCGCAAAATGCTGTTCTATTCTGCTTAGCATTGCTGGGGTCAGAAATGAGTCACAATCTCTGATCTGCTCAGAAACACCCAGCCAGCTCAAAGTAAACCATCCATTGAGGGAACTGAGGTTCAAAACAAATTAACAGGACTTCCCTGGTGGCGCAGTGGTTAAGAAACTGCCTGATAACGCAGGGGACACAGGTTCGAGCCCTGGTCCGGGAAGATCCCACATGCCACAGAGCAACTAAGCCCGTGCGCCACAACTACTGAGCTTGCGCTCTAGAGCCTGAGAGCCACAACTACTGAGCCTGCGTGCCACAGCTACTGAAGCCTGTGCACCTAGAGCCCGTGCTCCAGAACAAGAGAAGCCACCACAGTGAGAAGCCCGTGCACCGCAACAAAGAGTAACCCCTGCTCGCCGCAACTAGAGAAAGCCCACACGCAGCAACGAAAACCCAATGCAGCCAAAAAAAAAAAAAAAAATTAATTAAAAAAAAATTAACAAAGTCAGAGAGTCCGTTCTGGAAAACCAAATGTGCCAGAGACTCAGGAAGGAGATGATTCGTGACTTAAATATCATAGAAAGACAGCCCTTGTGTGAGAAAGGCAGGAGAGAGATGTTCAGTCAGTGTTTGATGAATAGCCAGATAAGTGGTATGGTGCCTTCTGGGCCTGACCTTGTGGTGTATGTTGATCTCATGTCCTGTGACATTGTTACACATACTTACCAGTTCTAGTGGCTTTTGTAGATTCCTTAGGATTTTCTGTATACGGATCATGTCTGCAAATTAAGGGCAGTTTTACTTTTTTCTTTCTAATCCAGATGGCTTTTCTCTTTCTTGCCTTATTGCACTGGCTAGAACCTCCAGTAAGATGTTGAATAGTAGTGAGGAGAGCAGACATCCTTGCCTTGTTTTTAATCTTACTGGTAAAGCATTGTCTTTCACTCTTTAAGTGTGATGTTAGCTGTAGGTTTTTCATAGATGCCCTTGATCCAGTTGAGGAAGTTTCCTTCTATTTCTAATTTGTTGAGAGTTCTTATCATGAATTGGAGTTAGGTTTTTATCGAATGCTTTTTCTCTATTGAAGTGATTTTTCCCCTTTGTTCTGTTAATATGTGTTACATTAGTTGATTTTCGGGTATTAAATCAATGTTTCATTCTTGGGATAAATCCATCTTGGTCATAGTGTATATTCCTTTTTATTTGTTGCTGGATTTGGTTTGCAAATCACTTGTTAAGGATTTTTGTGTCTGTATTCATAAAGAATATTGGTCTGTAGATATCATGTGATATCTTTGCCTGGCTTTGGTATTGGGTGATACTGCCTCATAAAATTAGTTGGGTAGTATTTTCTGCTCTGTTTTCTGAGAGTTTGTGTTGGATTGGTATTATTTCTTTCTTAATAGAATTCATCAATCAAGCCAACTGGGCCTGGGCTTTTTGTGTGGGGGGGTGATTTTTAGTTACTAAGTCAATTTCTCTAATTGATATTGGTATATTCAGATTTTATTATTCTTGAATCAGTTTCTATTTTGTACCTGTTAATACTTCTGTGCACAGTTAATAATTTGTGCCTTTCTAGAAACTTTTCTGTTTTCATCTCAGTTGTCTAATTGGTTAACATAAATTTGTTCATAATATTCCCCTATAATCCTTTTAATATCTATAGGGTCTGTAGTGATGTCTTGATTTCTTTCCTAATTTTTGGTAATTTGTGTCTTCTGTCCTATTCTTGGTAAGTTTAGCTAAAGACTTATCAATTTCTTTCTTTTCAAAGAAACAACTTTTGGCTTCATTGATTTTTCTGTATCATTTTCCTGTTTTCTGTTTCATTAATTTCCACTGTGATCTTTATTATTTCTTTCCTTACTTTGAGTTTGATTTGCTCTTCTTTTTCTAGCCTCTTAAGGTGGAATCTTAGATTTTTTTTCTTTTCTTTTCTTTTTTAAATTTATTTTGGCTGCGTTGGGTTTTCATTGCTGGGTATGGATTTTCTCTAGTTGCGGTGAGCAAGGGCTACTCTTCGTTGTGCTGTGTGGGCTTCTCATTGTGGTGGCTTCTCTTGTTGTGGAGCATGGGCTCTAGGCACGTGGGCTTCGGTAGTTGTGGCACACAGGCTCAGTAGTTGTGGCTCGTGGGCTCTAGAGTGTAGGCTCAGTAGTTGTGGCGCATGGTCTTCGTTGCTCTGAGGCATGTGGGATCTTCTCAGACCAGGGCTTGAACCCATGTCCCCTGCATTGGCAGGTGGATTCTTAACCACTGCACCACCAGGGAAGTCCCTGGAATCTTAGATTTTTGATTGTAGCTCTTTCTTTCTAATGTAAACATATAAAGCTATAAATTTCCATCTGAGGACTGCATTAACTTTGTCTCATGAATTTTGAAATTTTTTTTTTTTTTGCGGTATGCGGGCCTCTCACTGTTGTGGCCTCTCCCGTTGCGGAGCACAGGCTCCGGACGCGCAGGCTCAGCGGCCATGGCTCACGGGCCCAGCCGCTCTGCGGCATGTGGGATCTTCCCGGACCGGGGCACGAACCCGTGTCCCCTGCATTGGCAGGCGGACTCTCAACCACTGCACCACCAGGGAAGCCCGAAATGTTGTATTTTTAAATTTTTATTCTTTGAATGTATTATTAAGAAGTGGCTTAACTTCTAAATATATGGAATTGTACAGATTTCTTTTTGTTGTTGATTTCTGATTTAATCCTGTGTGGCTGGAGAATATATTTTGTATGATTTCAGTCCTTTTAAACTTTTAAGACTTGTTAGGTCAACTTAGACTTGGTATCTTTTGTTTTGTTTTTGTAAGTCTATGTAAAAAACATTACTCTCCTATGGATGACTTGAGTTCTGTGCTGCTAACCACCTTACCCTTAGTCATACATAGTCCGTGCTTTAGAGAGTTTTCTTTCTTCAATTCATGACTGATAATTTCACTTGGTCCCATGTGAATGAGGGAAGCTGGGTTGTAGGGCATATCACTGTTCAAATGACATCTCTGAAGGAGACAGGGGCCTTGAGATGATGCCAAATTCCTCATCCGATTTCACATTAGCAAGACTTGCTTTCACACTCTTATCAAGGATTTTGCTTTTTGTTGCTCTTATGTCTATAGTTCTGTTTATAGATTCTGACAGGCTTTTAGGGGATTCCTTGAATATCAGTTTAGTTTAGGATAAGCTGAAGAAAACCTCAAACAACAGTCGTTTTCCTTTTTGTTCTGCCATCCTGAGTACTTGGCTCGCATCTCATAGACTAAGATGGCTGCTTGAGCTCCAGCTATTACCTCAGCATTCCAGGCAGCAGAGAGGAAGAAGACACATTTCCTACATGTGTAAGAAAGTCAAATGTATGCTTGACTTACATCCATTAGCCAGAAGTTAATCACATGGCCACCTAGCTAAAAGGGAGCCTGGAAAACACCTTTGCTCTGGGTAGTCTTATACTTAGCTAACGGTAAGAAAAGTTCTCACAGTAATAAGTTTGAGTGCTTATTGTGTGTCAGGCACTGTGTTAAACACTGGGAATCTCCCATTTAATCCTCACCGTCCCTATGGGTAGGCCTCATTTATTCCCATTTTATAGAGGAGGAAACTGAGGCCCAGTGAGGTCAAATGATTTGCCCAGGTTCACACAGCTATTACCGGAGGAGCCAGAACCCAGACTCAGGCATCTGACTCCAGAATCGGCATTCTTGGCTACCTGCTCCATTGCATCTCACCTCCTTTCCGTAATTTCCTTTTCTCCTTCCAGGTGAAGACCTCAGTGAAAACCACTCAGACCAAAGCCAACCCAGCTGCCACCAGAGTGGCTTCAGCCAAAGGGGCAGCATCAGCTCCTGGAAAAGGGGTTTCTGCAGCTGCTCAAGCCAAAGTGGGGTCCCCAGCCAAGGCAAGTAGGACCAGCGCCAAAAGAGGTGCCAGGGTGGGATGTAGAGGAGGCCAAGCAGTGGCCCCAGCCTGGACAAGGGTTCTGCACAAGCGGGAGTGATCTCCCCACAGCCATGCCCTGGGTGGGGCTTCACTTAAGGGCAACCGTGCTTTCCTTTTCCTTCCCCAATACTGTTCCCTCCTCGATTCAGGTAAAGCCACCAGCAAGAGCCCCCCAGAGCAGTGCCGTCTCGGGCAGGGGCCAGGTGTCTGTGCTGGCTATGGGGAAGGCACTGGCTGCAGCAGCCCAGGCCCAGCTGGGGCCGGTCGGGGGCCCACAGGAGGACTCGGAGAGCAGTGAGGAGGAGTCGGACAGTGAGGGAGAGGCGCCCGCTCAGGTGAGGCCCGGGTGGGCAGAGAGCAGCCCTGTGCTTCCCCTCTGTGCCAGGAGCTGCCCACAGCACAGCTACACATGCCCCATCCATCTCCCGTCGCCCTTCCCTGACTCCGCTTCTCTCACTCCAGGCGAAGCCCTCAGGGAAGACCCCCCAGGTCAGAACTGCCTCAGCCTCCGCCAAGGGGTCCCCCAGGAAAGGGGCTGCCCCAGCACCCCCTGGGAAGGCAGGAGCCCCAGCCGCCCAGGCCGGGAAGCGGAAAGAGGACTCGGAGAGCAGCAGCGAGGAGGAGTCAGACAGTGACGGGGAGACGCCAGCAGCTGTGCCCCCAGCCCAGGTGAGGCCTCACGAGGAAGCAGCTACAGTGCCAGGCCTCTGAGCCACTGACTGCCACCTACTCCTACATCAGAACATGGGTTCAGGGCCAGGTGAAGAAGGAATTAAAACCAGATTAAGGCTCTGACCCCAGGATCCTTTCCCCCAGCTGCTGTACCCCATGTCTCCTTAGGTGAAACCTGCTGTAAAAACCCCCTAACCAAGGCCTCCCTGATGAAAGGTGTCCTGTGCACTCCCATATCTACCAAGGTCTCCACAGCACGAGTGGGCACACCAGCCCCATGGAAGGCTAGGCCAGCAACTCCTGCCAAGCCCCCAAAGATGTCACAGGGCCATGAGGAGGCTTGGACTGTGATGCAGGTACCATGAGGCCCTGGGAAGCTGGAGGAAGTCACATCCCTCACCTGGGCCTGGGGCCTCCTGTAGGCATGTGTATCTCTCAAGGAGAGCTCTTCTAGCTTAACATGAAGCCTGGGGAGTGGGGAGAGGGAAGGAATGAGCAACTGACTTTTATCTTGACCATTTTCCCTCTATCTGCTTGCACAGAAGTAGTTCAGGGTGACAAACTCCAGGACTCAGACATGTGATGGAAACAACGGGCTCAGGCCTGGTAGGGGTGATAGATGGCAACTGACATGGAGCCTTGGTGTCAGGAGAGACAGTAGGGAGTGGTGGCAACTAGGACAAACTGGAGAGCCCTTGTCTCATCTAGAAAAGCAGTCCCTGTCAGCTCCAGCCAGTTATGACCTGGTGGAGATGGACCCTTTGTAAGGCCAGATCTTCCATTTCTTTTTTTTTTTTAAATTAATTTATTTATTTATTCGTTTATTTTTGGCTGCATTGGGTCTTCATTGCCGGGCGCACGCGGACTCTCTCTAGTTGCGGAGAGTGGGGGCTGCTCTTCGTTGCGGTGCGCGGGCTTCTCATTGTGGTGGGTTCTCTTGTTGCGGAGCACGGGCTCTAGACACACAGGCTTCAGTAGTTGTGGCTCACGGGCTTAGTTGCTCCGCGGCATGTGGGATCTTCCCAGACCAGGGCTCGAACCCGTGTCCCCTGCATTGTCAGGTGGATTCTTAACCACTGCACCACGAGGGGAGTCCCTTGATCTTCCATTTCTTAAGGGAAGCTGGAAATCCCTGTTCCACGCTGAGCTCCAGCCCCTCATAGATTTCTATTTTCTTCATGAGTAAACAAGCACCAAGAAGTATAAGTGCTCCTAGCACTAACCTGTCTGCCTTCAGTGCATCAGAGCACTACTGAGCACGCTGTCTTATTGATAGGGACAAAAGGATGAAAGATGTTGGCCCTGCCCTCAAGGAGCATATAGTCTGTAGGGCAAGACAAGGTGACCGGATTATTGGAGAATATTCTGGTTGTGCTCTGATGGTGCTGGGAAAACAAGTGTCTGAGAGGCCAAATGAGATGATTGAGCTGAGCTTGGAGGAAGACCTGGGGTTCCCTAGACACAAAAGTAGAGACAGACCCTCCAGGTTGGGGAGGGGAGTGTGGAAAGGGAGGGGGGATGTAAAGTCAGGTGGGTTCAGCAAAGGCCTGCTGTCCTGTAGGCAATAGTTGCTTCTAGTTGCTTGTTACCAGTAACATTTATGGGGACCTAAATGCCAGACTAAGACACAAGGGTCCCAGCCACGTTTTGGACTGTGGTGCTTTTTGTAAAGTTTCTTTTGTTTTTTATTTTTATTTATTTTTTGGGGGGGTGGCTGCATTGGGTCTTCGTTGCTATGCTTGGGCTCTCTCTAGTTGCAGCGAGCGGGGGCCACTCCTCGCCGCGGTGCGCGGGCTCCTTATTGTGTGGTGGCCCCTCCCATCGCAGAGCACAGGCTCTAGGTGCGTGGGCCTCAGCAGTTGTGGCTCGTGGGCTCCAGAGCACAGCCTCTGTAGTTGTGGCGCACAGGCCTAGCTGCTCCACGGCATGTCGGATCCTCTTGGACGAGGGCTCGAACCCGTGTCCCCTGCATTGACAGGCAGATTCCCAACCACTGCGCCACCAGGGAAGTCCCTGTAAAGTTAGAAACAGGTTATTGTATCAGTCGGGACATCCTAATCTGCAGGAGAAAACAGAGCTACTTCACAAGTGCTTAGATGCTAAGGGGATTGGTTATCTCAGTGCACAATGTTTCAGGATAAGGTGTCTGTAAAGGTGGTTCCTTCAGCTCGGCATCATCAGTGACTCAGATTTCTTCCGTCTCTATGCCTCGTGTGCCTCATTGTCACAGCAGGGCTGCAGCATCTCCTAAAGAGCTAGGAAATCCCCCAGTTGACTTCCCCTTCCCTTGTCTCCTTGACCAGATCTAAGGCATGTGCTCTGCCCGCCCCCTGCCACCCCCCAAAAAAGTCACTCACTGATGAGAGGCCTGCAGTTCCTGTGATTGGCTAGGAGAAGGAGCCACCCTCTCCAAAGCCTGTGGTGGGGACCCCCAGAACAGAGTCGGGGTTCTGTGAGCAAGGAAGCCATGGGGGTGTGGCTGTTGCAGTGTGCATTGTAGTTGATTCATTTTAAAAATTGGGAAATACACAAATCAGGATCTTCCAGCTTTTCTTAAGAAATTGGAGGCTCAGGCAACATGGGTCCTGCTTTTCTGAGTGGTGAAAGTGGGGCCTTCGCACCAGTAGGGAGGCCCAGAGCTGCCCTCTGCACCTGCCTGGGCTCCCCTGAGCTGGTCACCAGCAGTGCCTTGCTGATTCATCACTGCTCTCCGAGTCATCCTCTGGCTCCTGACGGCTCTTCCCAGCCAGCCTGCCCCCATCGTCTACGCCTGGCCCGGCAGGAGGGGGGCAGGAGGGGATCACAGCTGCTCGGAGCACCCTCAGCCAACTCCTGCTTGTAGCTGGGGCTGTGACAGCCAGGTGTGAGCTGTGCTGGGGCCCCTGGCCCCACCCCTGCCACTTTGTCCCGGGCCACTATCACCTCTCATTCAGATGCCCGGCCAGCAGCACGCCAGCCCTCAGGTTTTAGTGGTGTGTGACTCACACATCCCTTTCACGTTCAGAGTCAGCTCTGGAGGAAGGATAGACAGAGTAGAGACCTGTGTTCCCAGTGGCTGGGAGGCATGCCGGGCCAGCAGCTGTGCCCCCCGTGTGTATATAGGGAGGTCATGCTATCTCCCCCGGAGACTGAGGGTCGTTGCTCTCTGGCCGTGGTTTCCCCACCCCGGCCTCTCAGTTGTGCTTCCCGTCGGCTAACAAATACCCCCTCACCCACCATATGCTTGTCCCGTCAGAAGGAGGGTAACTCCAAAACTGCCAGAAGCAAGACCCTGGCCCCAGCGCCCCCGGAGAAGAAGGCAGAGGGGTCCTCAACCAGCAGTGATGAGCTGCCAGCGAGACAGGTAGGCCAGGCATTGTCTCTGAGCACCCTCAGGCTCAGAGCTGGGTAGGTGGGCCCGGGCATGGGGGCAGATCTGTCCCACTTAAATAGCACTTCCCGGTTTCCTGAGCTCTTTCCTCTGTTTCAACATGTTCATCCTCACAATAACCCTGGGAGGCAGGCAGCAGAGCCAAGGCAGCAGAGCCAGACGGTGTAGGGTCAGAGCCGGCTGCCCCGCCCACCAGCTCCAAGGCCCGGGCTTGCCTTAACCATGCTGAGGCCCGGCTGTTTCAGCTGTGAACAGGCAGGGTGGCAGTCCTGCTTCCCCGCTCTGCATGCTGGCACAGGTACACAGCGTGCCGCCTGACAGGGAGGGCCTGTGAATGCAGGAGGGCACGTGGTGGTGCATCAGGAGTCAAGGCCCAGCAACTTGAAGTGATTTCCCCAGACTCCTGTGACCCATAAGGAGCCAAGGAAGGGGCAGACGCTGACACCCCTGCTTCCTGTTGGGAACTGGGAGCCTTCTCTGCAGGGCCTGTCAGAATCCCACAGGCCTGGTCCCAGACCGCACTCACGCACCTGCGGCCCATCCTCACACGCTGCCGGCCGTCCTCCCCTGACTCTACCCCTGAGGGCGGGACCAAGCCCACCTTGTCTGACCAACTCCAGAGGCCCACTTTCACCTGGCAAGTGTCTGAGCTTCTGTGTGAACCCCAGGCCTTGCCTGCAGCTGGCACTGCCCTTTGTCCTCCTCTAGCCCCAAGTTCCTAGAAGCTTCTGCCAGGCCCTTTGGAGATGCTGGAGCCCGCAACCCCCAGACCAGTGGGTCTCCTTAACCTGCTCCCCTTAAGGACTTGCCTGGCGGTCCAGTGGTTAAGACTGCGCTTCCAGTGCAAGGGGCACAGGTTCCATCCATTCCGCATGCCACGCGGTGCAGCCGAAAAAACAACCAGCTCCCCTTAGATATACCACGTGCTAATCAGTCCATCGGTAGAGTCAGATGCCATTTGCACACCCCCAGTGCTGGGGTGCTCACTGCCTTTCTCTCCTTAATAGCCTAGATTAGAAAAATAACCATGAGCGACTCCATCTACCATTGGTCACTTCCTGAGTGCCAAGGACTGTGCTAGGCCCCATACTTTCATTATTCTGTTTAATCCCCACAACAGACCTATGAGGATAGGTGCTTCTTGTTGTTTTTTGGGGGTTTTTTTTTTTTGCGGTACGCGGGCCTCTCACTGTTGTGGCCTCTCCTGTTGTGGAGCACAGGCTCCAGACGCGCAGGCTCAGCGGCCATGGCTCACGGGCCCAGCCGCTCCGCAGCATGTGGGATCTTCCCGGACCGGGGTGCGAACCTGTGTCCCCTGCATCGGCAGGCGGACTCTCAACCACTGTGCCACCAGGGAAGCCCTAGGTGCTTCTTTTATTCCCATTTTGAGGAGGAAGGAATGAGAAGTTGGGTGAGCTGCCCTGGTGTCACAGGGCTGTAACAAGGGGACAGACCTGGTGTTTGAACCCAGGCTGTCCGCTCTCTGGCACTACCCCGACACTCCCCTCTCCGTGGCAGGAAGGAAGCAGGGCTTGGACACTGCCCTCTGGCTCTCTGGAGCCTTTTGGGGGCTGCCTCCTTCTCTGAGCAGGATCGAAACAGCTGGGGGGGGGGGCCGTTTCGCCCTTCCCTGAGGGGGTGGACTAACACAATTAATATGAACATCATGCTTAAACTGAACCATTTAATTGGTACGTTAGTCCTCAGTATTCTGGAGTCCCTATTAAAAAAGAGGAAAGAAAAAAGTCAGCACTTTGTGCATTCCCCGGGAGGATTCAGGGGAGATGGCACGGCCTGGGGAAGCTGCAGCCTCCTCCTAACTGGGGCATTTTTATCTCCTTAATCCCAAGCTCACTAATTATTATTATTATCGTTATTATGCATTTATCAGGCACTTCTCTGTTGACGAGTTTCACTGTTCTTATTATTAGCCCGTCCGTGCGGGAAAGGGATTGATCCCAGGGTGGTGGGCAGAGCCCCAGGCTGGGAGGCAGAGAGGGGATGTGGTCCATTCCCAGGCCCCCTCACTGTGCCTCAGCCTCCCCCCATGCAGGGGATGGGGCCTGCCCCCTTGCTCTGAGGGGCACCTTGGGGGGTGGTCCGTGGCTCAGCCCTGTTGTGCTGGCATTAACCCCAGGCCAGGGTCTGTGCTGGGGTCTGGGGTAAGTACCAAATTAAGAAGACTAGGCCCTGCCTTCAGAGTTTTAGGTTGAGTCAGAAAGAAAGAAGAGACCTGTAAGAAACTAAATGAGGGTGTTAAATCAGAGGCTTAGCATGGTTGGTCCTGGAAGGAGTTCCTGTCTGGTGCCTGGAGGACTAGCTTCCAGCCCTGTCTCTGACACCAGTTTGCTGGTCACCCTGGGTAGGGCCACTTGCCCTCGCTGAGCTTCAGCCTTCTCAACCCCTGGGGTGAGATTCCCTGGGGGCTGGTGAATCGTGGAGGCTCCAGGCCACATCCCTGGGAGTGGGATTTCTCATCTCCCTGGGGTGGAGTGGACCCAGGATCTGCTAACCAGTCCCAGGCAGCTGTGGGAGAGGCTTTGGAGAAGTGTTACCGTCCAGAGCTCGGGTACCTTCATGGCCATGTCCCTTGGAGTCAGCAGCCTGGGCTAATCCACCTGACCCCTGCTCTGCCCCAGACTGGAATGAGGGCACTCTTGTGATGCGCTCAGCTGTGACTCCTAGAAGGCCCCCGGGTTTGGTCCTACAGGCGTCAGACCCTGTAGTAGGGAAGGAGCGCCTGCATTCCCTCTGGGCCCTCACTGCCCAGCACCTACACGGGGCGTCCAGCCAGATGTCTGGGCTGCTTCCATTTCCAGTGCGTCTTTTCTGACGTACCCCAGAAAGAAGGCCCTTGTCACCCCTGTGTGTACTGGGCAGACCAGAGGCCCTCCGGTGAGTGAGCCCAGGCTGGGGTTACTAATAGTCCTTTCAGCAGGTGGGACAGTGAGGCCCACGAAGCTCAGGGGCTGGGCTACAAGGTGAGGTCGTGGCAGAGGTGGGATCAGAAGTGCATCCCACATACCCCTGGGCAGCACAGCCCTCCTTCTGAACCCTCCCCAGTCCAGGGCTCAGCCAGGGTCCCCCTCGTGCCCCGGCCCCCAAAGCCAGGCCCCCTGCCCAGCCCCCAGCCCGGGGGAGGGAGGGGTGCACGGCGTGGGCAGGTGGAACAGGGAGGAGGCTTCTGCTGCGGAGCTGCTTTTAACATCCCAGACGCTATTGTTTGCCTCAGTGGGCTTGCTGCCTCTCTTCATCCCCGACAATCTGTTCCTCTGTCTTCTCACATATATATAGATCCCCCCTCCCTCAACTGTAAGCCTTCTCCCACTTTCCATCTTCTCTCTTTCATCACGTGGGAAGGAAGGCTCTGGAAGTGGCAGATCCGAGCAGCCATGGGGGAGGCCGTTTGGCAGGGGTAGGAAGGGCCCAAGCCCAGCAGAGCTTCCCCCCTTGGGCGGGCCCCTTTCTGCTTTCCTTTTTACTTTACCTCTCCAGCAGCACCCTGGGAGGAGGTGGAGTCAGGCTCAGGAGGTGGGCAGAGACCTGGGTCTCAGACCGTGGCCGTGGGCAGCTCCCGCCTGCTGCCCTCCTCTCCCCGTGGGGGTGGGGCTGGGGCCAGAACCCAGACCAGCCCTGACCTTTGGGGACTGGAAAGTAGGCTCCCCTTCTGTGCAGTGGGCATGTTCACTGGAGCTGTGGTTCCCAGGCATCTGTAGAATACCAGGTGGTCCTGCTTTCTTTCTCTTTGTTTCAGTGTCTCACTGGAAAATGCAAAGCATACCCACAGATAGAGCAGTGTACAGAGCGCCCAAGTACCATCCCCAGCTTTGGTAGTTCTGAACTTGTGACCAAGCTTGTTTCATCCAAACCTTCAACTCACTTCCCCAACACCACTGAATCCCTTTTTTTTTTTTTTTTTTAAGCACAATCTCTAAAAAGTTGACCCACCTAGTTAGTGTCCCCATTTCCCCAGTTGTCTCCTGAATGACGTTTTCTATATCTGGCATGGTCAGAATAGGAGTCCATGTAAGAGCCACACACTGTACTGGGTCCCTTCGGTCTTACTCTGTTGATTTTCCCTGTGTAGTTTATTTGTTGAAGATACTGGGCTGATGTAGTTGGGTTGCTGCATCCTGGCCACACCCTCAGGAGGTGGCATCAGACTCTTGGGCATGGGTCAACTAGATTGTGAACAACTCCCCGGGTGAATCATGTATAACAACCAGGCAACTGAGGGGGGCGCTGCTTGGAGCGCCCCATGCGGCAGGTGTCTCTGAAGTCAGCCAGAGGAGGGAAGCTGAATTGCACGTTCTGGCCCTGACTCTGCTTCCGTTGGGCCGTGTGACCTTAGGCAGCTCTCCTCCCCTCTCTGGACTTGTGGTTTTCCCATCTGTATGGTGGAACTAACACTGCTGACCTCAGGGGTTTATGTGAGGGTCAGATGGGCTCCTGTGAGCTGTGAGGTGCTGTGCGGGGTCTTAGTGGGTGTGTGGACTGGGAGTGAGCTGGGAGTGCCCTGGGCAGCTAGAATGGCCTCTGACTATGCCCAGCCACCCCAAGCTCTCTGGACCCCTTGCCTTATAAAGCCCTCCCCTACCCACCTTCCCCTTCCTCTTCCCCTGGCCAAGCCTTTAATCACTGGGGGGCTGTGTTTTGTTTTTGTTTTTCAAGGTGATTAAAACCCCTCTGATTTTTGTCGACCCTAATCGTAGTCCAGCTGGCCCAGCTGCTACCCCCGCCCAAACCCAGGCTACAAGCACCCCGAGGAAGGCCCAGGCCTCAGAGAGCACACCCAGGAGCTCCTCTGAGAGTGAGGATGAGGACGTGATCCCCGCTACGCAGTGCTTGACTCCTGGTGAGCACAGGCCCACTGTGCAGGGCTGACTCCCCTGCTGCAACTGCCAGACACACGCACACACACCCGCGTGCACACACACATGCACACACACCCCCACTGGGCTGGCTCAGGAGAAGTAGCTGCTGGGGCTTCTCTGTGCTGGCTCCAAAGGGTAGATCCCAGACCAGAGGCTAGAAGCTGCAGGGACCAGGTTTGTAGTATAAGGAAGAGCTTTGTAACAACTGACTGACTGAACATGGAGAGGGCTGTGAGGTAGTGAGCCTTCCGTTCCTGGTGGCATGTAAAGGGGAGGGGTTAGGTAATCCCTAAACAGAGACATGTAGGGAAGGATTCCTGGAGACAGGACCAGATCTGGGATTTCTTTGACTTTTTTTTTTTTTTTTTTGCGGTACGCGGGCCTCTCACTGTTGTGGCCTCTCCCGTTGCGGAGCACAGGCTCCAGACACGCAGGCTTAGCGGCCATGGCTCACGGGCCCAGCCGCTCCGCGGCATGTGGGATCTTCCCGGACCCGGGCACGAACCTGTGCCCCCTGCATCGGCAGGCGGACTCTCAACCACTGCGCCACCAGGGAAGCCCTTCTTTGACTTTTGACAATCTGTGATTCTAACAGTGATAGCAAGAAAATGGTTAATTACTATTATTATTACTAGAACACTTTTTAATGAAGATAATTAATACCTGATCTTGGTAGGCTAATTAAGAAATGCAGGTTAGCACAAAAGAAAAAACCTCACTTGGAATCCCACTGTCCAGAATAATTACTGTTAACATTTTACAACTATTAACTTTGCAAAAACCTACCATAACGCCATGTGTTTTTAGTGAGACCACACTGTACATACGCTCAGTAATCTTTACTTGGTATGTTGTGGCGCTACATATTTACAGCATGACGCCTGCTGGCTACAGAGTGGTCACTGGGGCGGGATCCTGCAGTTTGCTTAGCCAGCACCACGTTGGAGGAAGCTGAGCGTTTTGTTTAGGGTGTTTGGCTATCATGAACAGTGCTGCAGTGAACATGTGTAATCGAGCCTCTGCACATGACCGAGGCTGTCCTCAAGAGAGACTGTTTTACGTGCGCGGAGAGTCACGTTTGGCTCCAGTGCTCTGCCTGTTGCTCAGGAGGAGCGGCCTGGCCAGCGGCGGGGGTGGGGGGGTGGCTGAAGGTGGCGAGGACGAGGCCTGGGGTGACAGCCACAGCAGTCGTGTCATCTCCCTGTCATGTGGAGACAGTGGCAGATCCTGCCTGGAAGGCGCTCGGGAGGGGATTTAACGGGCTTCTACCACAAAGGCCCCGGGCACCGCTCAGGATGGGCTGAGAGATTGGGTGTTGCTCCTCCGGGGAGGCCACGGGCTCCTGTGCCCTGACGCAGCCCCTCCCGCTCCGTCTCAGCCATTAGGACCAGCGTGGCAACTGTGCCCACGGCCCACCCCAGGGCAGCCCTCAGAGCCAGCATGGTGGGGGCCGGCAGCAATGAGGACACCAGTCGGGTGTCTGAAGGCAAGAAACAGGAGACGCCAGCCACTCAGGTACCCGACGGACCGGGGGGCGCTGTGCGGGCTAGCAGGGCTGCGGGGCTCCCTCGTCTGCCCCCACTTCCCCACAGGGCTTCTGGGTGGCAGCGCAGTTGCTTTCACCCGCCCCCTCGAAGCCAGAGCCTTTCCTGGCCTGGCCGCAGCCCTGATCCGAATTAGCCTTGCGTGATCTGGCATGTGGCGCCCGGGCAGAGCCAGCCCTGCTCCCTGAGTCCCTCAGCAGCTTTTTCAACAATGTCAGGCCTTTGGTTTGTTTTTTCTCTCCCGGTTTGAACAAAAGTTTGCCATTATCAGTGTTTGTCATAGTGACCATAAGCGTTCTTCCCAGCCTTCACGGATTTCAGTGCATTTTTATTTATTTGGTCCTTGCTGGAACTTAAAAACCGGGCAGGGGAGAGTTAATGGCTCATCATTCAAATGATGAAACTGAGCACCACACCCTCAGCAAGAGGGTCCAGACGTGACCAGGATCAGGCAGGGTCAGAATCGGGGCTCCTGCCTCCCAGTCCATTGCTCTCGGGGCTGTAGGGTTTGTTTCCCTGACCCCTTGTGCCCGCCCGTTTTTTCTGAGAAGGCAGGAGGAGGGAGAGCTGGGGAGGCGGCAGCAGGACTTGGGCACCTCCACTCAGAGGGGCTCATCACGAGCTACAGCTCAAAAAGAGCTTCCTGGGAGCATGGGTGCTGAGTGGGTGGCTGTCTTGTGGTCATGGCACCCAACAACCTGCATCCATGTGGCCGTTCAGCCAGCAGATGGTGCTGAGCATCTGTCCATGTGGGACACTGAGGATACGACAGGAAGAAGACAAGGAGGGTCCCTGCCCTCGTGGAGTTCCCAAGGCGGGGGTCAGCCGTTAAACAAGGAGACCAGAAGTTAAAGTACTCACCAACTAGGGAACCAGGGGATGACCTGCTTTAGAAAGGACGGGCCGGGGTGGCCTCCCAGAGGAGGCAGCACTGAGGCCGGAGAAGCAGCCAGGCCTGGGCGAGCTGGGGAGCCCTCCAAGCAGGGAGACCCAGGTGCAGGGACCTCTGGGGAAGCACTTGGGGGTTGGAGAGCTGGAAGAAGCTGGGGCGGAGGGGCCAGGCCTGACAACGCATGGTGAGGGCCTGGTGAGGGCCGCGGGGGGCCTGGAGGTTTCAGCGAGGGATCACACCCAGGTTTCGTTCCGTTCTCTGTCCTTGGCCGCTGCCGTGTGTGGGAAGCAGGAGTGGCACCAGGGAGACCGTTAAGGAGGCTGTTCCAGCCACGAGGCTAGAGGCGCAGATTGAGTGGTGGGGCCTCCGGTGGAGCCTGGGCTGGGAGCTGTCTTTGGACCTCTGAGAACGCTATGATTAGCTCATAACCTGAAGCCTGGCACCATTTTCTGCCCAGATGGTGGCGTTGCCCCTTTGCCCCTCAGTCCTCCACTCCAGCCCCAGGTTCCTCTTGCAGCTACAGGTCCCCTTCCACCCCAGCCAGACAGGATCTGACCAGGCTGTGGCATGGTGGCATCCTGGGAACTTGGGAGTCTCAGGGCTGCCTTTGGCTGTCCACAGGTGACAAAGAGGAACCCAACTCACCTCCCGCTGACCCAGGCTGCCCTGAAGGTCCTTGCCCAGAAAGCCAGTGAGGCCCAGCCTCCTGCTGCCAGGACCCTGTCTTCAAGTGGGGTGAGCTGGGGAGCTGGGGGCCAGGCCCCACTCTGGAGGGGACGGTCATCAGAGACCGCAGAGGGTAGAAGGCAGGGCCCAGGCAGGGGCCTGAGTCCCAGCACCAGCACTTACCAGCACTGGCCTTAGCACACACGCTTGCCTCCTGGGCTTCTGCTGCCCGTCTTAGAGAGTTGTGGGAGGATTAAATGAGGCCTGTGTGCGAAGCAGCTAACACGGTGCCTGGCCCTTAACTGAGGTGTTCAGTAAGCACCAGATCTTATTTCCCCTAATTTTTCCTTTCACCCTTTCTCCTCTCACCAAATTAGACCGACAGTGCTCGGGGAACACTGCCCATGACGAGTCCCCAGAGCACCCCCGCGCAGGCCAGAGGGGCCAACAAGCTCAGAAAGCCTGAGGTTCCTGCAACCCAGCGGGCCATAGCCACTCCCTCGGGACGCCCCAAGGCCAAGGCCTCTGGGACCTCAGATGACAGCAAGGACAGCAGTGGCAGCTCTTCAGGGAGTGAAGAAGATGCTGAGGGGCCCCAGGTGGCCCCATTGACCCACAGGCCAGGTGAGGGTCCTGGGAGGGAAAGGCTGGGGGACCTGGTGGAGCCCTCGCCTCAGGCCTCTGCTTTGTATCTCCACTTGTTCTGCGACTTTGGCCTAGCCATCCCACACAGGGTCTCAGTTTACCCAGCTGCACAACCCCATAACAGAGTTGGTCCACATGATGTTAGAGGCCTTCCTACTAGGCTGTTTGGCCACTCCCAACTTTTTGGTATCAAGCTCCCCTAACTGAGGCCCCAAAATCCCAGGGCCATGCCTCCCTTGGGAATTAGAAGGTTTTGGCATTCAGCTGTCTCACTTGGAATGCTGTGAATAGCAGTAGACCTTGGAAGGGAGCAGATGAAGCCTTGGGCGGGAGGGTGAGGCACATACACAGGGACCAGGCCATCCTGGGGCCCTCCTGAGGGCTCCGGCCTGTCTAGCTGGCACAGGGTACCTGGGACTCCCAGTAGGACACCTGTGCTTCTCCAGTAGGTCCAGCCCCCTCCAGGAGGGAGACGTTGGTGGAAGAGACCACAGCAGACTCCAGCGATGATGAGGTGGTGGCACCTTCCCAGGTAACCGCGAGGGAAGGGGCTGGCAACCTTGGGGGCCTTGGGGCAGGAGCCCCAGGCCAGGCTCTTGTCCACCTATGCAGTTGTAGGCCGAGGCCACCCCCTGGCTCATAGGTCTGGGTTCTTCCTTTTCCCAGGGTCCCTGGGCAGGGTCCTGTCCGTGTGGAGCCAGGCTGGCTCCTGCCCTGAGGCCCCTTTTCAGCATAAAGTCGTGAGCGGCGGACTCTTGGAGTCTGTAGACAGGGCTTACCTTGATTTAGGTGATCCCCATATAAAAATGCGCTTTAACAGATGGGGTTTCTTTTAAGGTTATCATCTGTACGTAGCAAATGCTAGTGCTTTTCCATTTGCATTAGTAATAAGAAGTTTCCTTTTTAAATGTGCCTGTTAAAACTATGTATTAATTAAAATAGTGCAGGAGGTACTCACAGAGGGCTGGTGTGCCCACCACCCAGTAGGGCTGGCCCAACCCTTGGGGTCCCTGTGCTGGTGTCCTCATAGCAGGCCATACACTGCTGGGCCTCTTCACACTGGGCTTCTTCAGTCTCTCCTCTCAGGTTATGTGACCCCTGGGCTGACTCCGGCCAGTTCCCAGGCTTCAAAGGCCACTCCCAAGCCAGACCCCAACCCCTCGGTTTCCTCTACTCCGGCCACCGGAGATGCCCCAGATGGCAAGCAGGAAGTGGAGCCCCAACAAGCAGCAGGCACCATGTCCCCTAAAACAGGTGAGTCGAGGGCTGCAGGAAGGACACAGCAGGATGTGGAAGGACGAGGCAGGGGCCTCTTTCCCTCCCTCAGGAGCCGTCCCACCAACATGGTCCTGTCTGCCAGCAGGGCCTCCCCAAGTGAGGCCTGGTACCCCTGCATCAGGCCTGGAGGTGCTCATGAAAGGGCAGGGGCCTGCGCCCGCGGGGCTGGCTGCTGTGGTCTAGGGCAGCCTGGAGGTTGGGTTATCCAGCCCTGTGGGATGCTGGTGCACCTGGTAGGGTAACCCCTGCCTTAGAGGAGGTGCACCTTGACTTTCAGGGCAGGCCTTGGCTCTCTCTAGCTGTCCGTGTTGACTTTTCTTCCTAACAGGTAGGCTCATGGTGCGGGACGTCGGGACTCAGGGTTGCTCACACAGAAGGTGGGGCCACGTTTGGAGAAGTCTTCAGCACATGGCGATGACCCCAGGCTATGGACTGACGTTCTCTAAAGCTTCAGACGAGCCCCTGGCCTCTCTGGACCTCAGCGCCTTAACCAGACAGGGCAGGGGTCGATGCATCCATTGATGTCACGTAGAAAATGGCACATGTGGAAAATGGTCACGCAGTGTTTGGAGGGCAGACTGGAGTGCTCAGGTCACCTGGCCTAGGGCATCAGCCACCGCTGACTGTGCCAGCGCTATGGGACATTTAGAGGGTACACCTGGGACAGCTCTAGGGGTTCCCTGGCCTTGGTGTTCTAAGGTGTTTGGTAGACAGGAAGCAGAGAAGTGGGCTGCAGGGAGAGAGGTTGCCGAGGCACCCGTGCCCTCCTCAGCTCCCTTCTCTAGCCGACTCCTGTCCTTGCCAAGAAGCACCAGAGGACTGAATTGGGCCTCCGTCTGTCCTGCAACCCGCTCTGCCCACCACCCCTGGCCCACTAGGGCTCTGGAGCCAGAGCTGCTGCAGGGCCCACTGCACACTGCCGGGAACAGCCCTCTCCTCCCCACGTGGAGCAGGGCCAAGCCACCAGCACCTCCCCGAGCCCAGGGTGTCGGCGCACTTGTGCTGTGAGGCCCCGAATGGGGCTGAGACCTGCCAAGTCACCTGTGAAGTTGGGGCGGCGTCAGGACATATGCTGAGTCCCACAGCCCCCAGTCCCTGGGCTTTTCGCACAGCTTGCCTGGTGCCGGGTCAGCAGAGGAGTCATTGCTCACTTTCTTCCCCAGCGTTCTTTTTGTGAGAGGCGGGTGTGACAGGGAGACATTTTAGAGGGGGCTGTGGAAGGTTTTTCACACGTGTAGCCAGCATACAATTATCAAAGGAGAGCAGAGGCGTGGAAAGTTCTAAACAAAGGCTGCAGCAGGAGTCACTCTGGCAGGCAGTAAACCTGCTTAGTCAGCCACCATGTGCATGTTCACTGCACCCAGCACCCCCAGGCCACACCACCTGGACCCCTGACCACGGAGGGCCTGGGCCCACTGTGCGCAGGTGGCCGTGAGTTGACTGACCGCGTGGCCTTCGCTTTTATTACGAGTCTGTGATTTAGAATGGGGGTGAGGGGGCTCACAGTTCATCTAACCCCTCATTTTACAAATGGGGAAACTGAGTTTGGTTGTCAGACCCAGAACCCAGGTCTCCTGCCTCCCAACGCTGGACTCCTGACTGGTAGATACTATCCCTATCCTGACGGTTAGATTCTTTGATTTGTTGGTAGATTTCAAGCCCATTGACGAACATTCTGGAGTTAATTTCCATCCCCAACCTGAACTTGAGTTTTTAGTGTGAGGAGACAAGAAGAGAGCTCTAAGTTAGAAGCTGGCAGAGAGGTGTGAGCCGGAGACCCAGCGGGGCCCCGCCGTCCCCCTCTGTACTGCACCAGAGGAGGTCAGGTCTGTTCTGGAGCCCCTTGACTTTCATTCCACGAGAGGTCTATTTCCTGCTTCTCTCAGGTCCGTGACCCCGGGTCCTCTCTCCATAGGCAGAAGAGAGGCTAGCGCCACACCTCAGAAGACCGGGAAGGGGCCCAGGAGCCCCCAGGCCTCCATGCAGGCGCTGCAGAGCGACATCACCCGGCGCCTGCTGAGCGAGCCCTGGCCCCTGAGTGAGGCGCAGGTGCAGGCGTCGGTGGTGAAGGTGTTGGCGGAGCTGCTGGAGCAGGAGAAGAAGAAGGCCGTGGGTGCGGCCAAGGAGGGCAGCCGGAAGGGCCGCCTGGGCAACAAGCGGAAGCTCTCCGAAGACCAGACAGCCGCCGGTGCCCCCAGGAGCAAGAAGAAGAAGCAGCTGGCGGCCGGGGATGGCGGGGAGCGTGTGGTGTCCCCAGAAAAGGCCCCCAGGACTTCTAAGGGGAAATCCAAGAGGGACAAAGCGAGTGGTGACATGAAGGAGAAGAAGGAGAAGGAGTCTCCCGGCTCCCAGGGGGCCAAGGAGAAGCCAGAAGGGGAGCCGGGGAAGGTGAAGGGTGAGGGGGGAGACCAAGGCAACCCAAAGAGCAAGAAGGAGAAGAAGAAAGCCGACAAGAGTAAGTGCCCAGTGCAGTCCCGGAGCGCGTTCCCCAGCCCCGCCGAGCGCTGTCGGTCACTTCCCGGGCAGGCAGCCCCCAGCCAGCACAGAGATGGGGCTGAGCATAGCTTGTCCATGGTGGGCAGGATGGGCAAAGCCAGAACCAGGTGCCGGAGCACAGGGGCCACCACTGCTGAGAAGGTGCTCACGGCTCCAGGGCGTGTGCCCACGGAGCCCCTAGCTCCCTCATAGCAGCCACCGCCACGCGCACTTGCAGCTCAGGCCCCTGCGATCCAGGCTCCTGGACAGCAGCCGCCCCTCAGCGCGCTCTGCACTGGTCTCCGCCTGCGGCAGGGCTGCCTTTAACCCTCACTCCGGCCCTGTATGATGGGTGATAACTCATTCCCATTACAGGTTGAAAGGGTCTTTTTAAAATAAATGTGTAGAAGTTTTACAGAGTGAGTTAAAGGAAAATGGTAATAGTCCAGATGGTCCATGGATGGAGCAGAAATCACGAGGCTGGCCCGAGGGCCAGGGCAGTTGGTCGCAAAGGCCTATGGACCTGTGCTTTGACGGCTCCCCACGGTGTGGGGCATCGGGAGGGGAGAGCTCCAGGGCCCCTGGAGACCCGCCCCCTGTGTCTCTCGACATTGACGCCAGCATTTAAGACTAGCACCTGTTGTTTAACAAGTTCACTTTCTTCCCTTAGAAAAAAAAGACAAGGAAAAAAAAGAAAAGAAGAAGAAAGCAAAAAAGGCCTCAACCAAAGACCCTGACTCACCATTGCAGAAGAAAAAGAAGAAAAAGGTAGCGTGAGTTCCTGAGGAGTCTCAGGCGCGAAAAGGGGGCCCAAACCCAGTCCCCAGGGTGAATGTGATCAGCCCCAGCCTCTGCATGTCAGGGTAGGGGTTCGTGTGGGCCAGACCTGGTCACTGTGCCCCTTCCATTCTCAGGGTCCAGAACGGGGGCTTGTGCGTTATGATACACTAGAGAAGAGCTAGGGGTGGGGCGTCACCCTGAGGGGCACGAGGTCTGTGCACATGGGCACCACGGAGTGGCCCTATCTTGCTTGTGAGATAGAAGGATATTCTTATGACAAGTGAAGAAAGCAGAGCCCCCCCAGGTGGGCAGGGAGGCCAGGTAGGCTGTTGCAGGTTTCCAGGTGAGAGGAAACGTTCCCTGGCATGTGTGTGCCCCAGCAGGCAGGGCATCTCCACCACAGAAACACACACAGTCTGCTTCATGCAGGTCAAGGGCTGATCCCCTGGCGAAGGGGCCCTCAGCACCTTCTACTCAGGCGCAGTTCTCACCGTGGCCAGCAGGGCTTCAGCTGTGGTCAGAAAAGCTGAGCATCTGCTGCTGCAAAGCCCTGAGCTCCTTCCTCCAGAGCACACGGGGGCCGCCATCCCTACCCTCGGGATCTCTGTATGCCCAAAATCTGTTCTGGGGGAGCCACGAATCCTCAGGAGACAACTGTCACATCCCCTCCTGGTGGGGGCAGCGTGGGTGGGGAGATGCTTCAGGTACAGGAGCCTCTCATACGTACTTCTCTCTTCACAGAAGAAGACGGCAGAGCAGACTGTCTGAGGGACGCCAGGCGGCAGGTGCACTTCCTGACCCGGGAACCCCTGCTGACCATCTGCTCCCCGGGAAGAGTGGGAGGGCAGGCCCAGCATTCACCGTGGTTCCGGGGAGCTAGACTGGGCTTCGTGGGTAGGCCCTGAAGGGAAGGGGGTTTGGTGAAAGAGGTTGCATTCCTTAGGGTCAGTGGGTGATGCCGGGAACCAGAGCTGTAGAATCAGAAGTGTCCGGGACAGGCCTGGCAGTGACCGACACTGAGTGTGCAGTGGGAGGTGGGCGCTGGTCTGGTGCCTCTGTACATGAGGATAAGGCTTGAGGTCGGGGACAGCTCAGTCTCTCCCTTGCCACTGCCAGTTCCTTTTCCTTATGATTTTGTAATTCGAGGGCATTTCCTCATGGGAAGGAAGATGATTTGCTCAAAACAAGCCATTCTGATGGCTCTGTGCTTCCCAGGTAGTGGTGAAGTGGTTAAGTGATCCGCCTGGCTGAGCCGGCCCCAGCCTGCTGTAAATGGGGGTAATATAGGCCTGGGCTGGTAGTGAGGATTCAGTGCAGTTAATTAAGCTCTAAAGCGCTCAGCCCAGTTCCTGGGACATGGTCAGCACTGACAAGTATCCACCGTGGTTAGTTAATGCCCCTCCCCTGCATAGGAGATGCCAGATTTTGAGTTTGTTCTCCTTGGTGGAGAAACAGGTCAGGAAGTCTGACGTTTCCTTCTCCCAAGGATTTCTTAGCCAAGTGGTGGCCAGCCCCGTGCCTCTTCCCTCTGCCCACCAAGGGTTGGAATTGAATTTTTAACTTCCCCTCCTTCCCCAGAAGATGATGGCCAGCTGCGGTGTCCGTGCTGGCCAAGCCAGTGAGCCCTGCAGAAAGGCTGGTCCCGGGAGGAGGAACCACGCCCAGCTCCCGTGACCTCCACTCACTGACCCTGGCCTGACTTCTGTGCCGACAAAGGATGCCTCGTATGGACATGTACAATACATATATATATTTTTTAAGTGACCTGCCCCTCCCTTCTCAGACCCAACATGCCCAGAGGTCTCGGGACTTGCCACCTCTGCCCTGCAGACCCAGTGAGGCTCAGCCTGCGACTCCTTCCATGCCCCTGGTCTCCAGCTATGCTGAGGCTTTGTCCTTTTTGTCAGTTTTCTCCCATTTTGTTTGTGTGTTTTTTGTAATAACTCAGAAAATAAAAGACGTGAAGGAAAGGTGCAAGTTCCCATTGCATCTGGGGCAAACGTTTTGCAATTGATTGATCCTTGGAAGGGAGAGTCTGGCTGACACTTGGCAGATGAACAAACCATCGCTCAGGATTTATTCTTGACCGTGTATCAAGGCTCTGTGATACTGTGGTGAGTGACACACTGTTTGCCAGAGAAGGAGACTCAGCAAAAGGCCCTGGTGTTGAATTGGGGTGGGGAAGGCTTCCTGGAGGAGGTGGCATCTAAGCTAAGGGGGAGCTCAGGCATGGTCATGGCTGGTTGCTGTGGTAGGTAGGTCAGGCAGATACCCAGAAGCAAGAAATGGAAGGGGGTCTTCCAAGTCACCTTTTGAAGTTAGGACAAGCTGCGGGCAGGCTCTCTTGAGGTACTTGGTGGAGAGTAGCTGGCAGGGACAGTAGGAGCAGGACGCCCAGTTAGGACTGAGTTGTCCACGTGTCTAGGTAACAGAGGTTCTGCGATGATGAAGGCAAGAAGTGGAGGAACCTGAAAGATGTGTCAGGGTGACGTCCGCAGGACTTTGTGATGGCCAGTGATGCAGAGGGCCACTTCCCTGAGCCCAGAGTAGTGTGGAGCACCCAAGGTCATGGAGTCCGCTCCAAGGCTTTTAGCCTTCTGCTAAAGGCAGCAAGAGGCCGTGCAGAAACAGAACACTGGGCTGGGGAGGTCTGGGCGAGCCAGGGTGGCATCCACATTTACCCTAACTTGGGGCTCCTGGGCCAGGCCCTCCCCCAGGGAGCCTCTCCCCCCTTAAGTGTGTTGATCTAGAACAGAGGCCGCAGAGCAGTGTCCTATTGGGCTTTTTTGACCCACAGCAAGTCTTCAGACTTAGAAATAGAGATTTCAGTGAACTTCCTCATTTGGGGCTCCTCTTGAAAAGTCCAGAAATCTGACCACAGGGGCCTCTGCTCCTCCTGGTAATGAGCAGCTGGGGCACTGCAGCGGCCGCCCCTTAACTAGGACATAGGCCCCCCACTTCCACAGCCGCCACTCCCTGGTGATCCCGACACAAGGGCCCATGTTGTTGCCATCTGTCACCACACTTGTACTGTTCTCAGTATAGAAAAGAAAATGGGGACGTGAGAAGCCGGACCCAGAGGAGCTTGTGCTTAAAGAACTGTGGGCAAGAGCCTGTTTCTTCTTGGAAGTAGGGAATGTATCTTGTGTGTGGAACATGGAGACCAAGCGTGTCCGCGTCCAAAGACTGCAGCCCCGCTCCCCACGGCCCGGCCCCGCTCCCCACGGCCCGGCCCCGCCCCACAGGCATCTGTATTTGGGCTCTCCAGGCTGTGTCCTCCCACCAAACCACAGGATGCAAGGTCTGCAGTTCACCCCCTTCGGGGAAACGAACCGGACCCAACAGAGCAGTCAGGAACTGGGAGTGTTCTACTCACTACCTTTTATTCTCACAGGCGCCGTGGCCCTGAGGGCCGATGACAAGCTTGGCTGCGCAGACGGAACTGGGGGTTGGTAGAAAGGAGGGGCTGCGGGTGGAGAGGCTGGTTCTTCCTGGGTAGGTGATGCTGGGGAGAGGGAAAGGGCAGCTCCTCCCCCCGTTAAATGGGCTGGAAGGCCGAGGCCAATGGGGGAGGGGACAGCAGAGGTGTCCGTCCTGGGGCTTGGGTCAGTGCCATCCCTTCTCCCTACACCTGCCCACCTCTTCCATGGGCCTAGATCTTGGAGCACCATGTGGTGTCAGAAGTGGGGGTCAGCCTGGTTCATGGTCCATCTCCCCGGGCCTTATGTCCCTGCTAGTGGATGGGGTTTTGAGCAGCAGGGCCCTTCTGCATTGTTAATCTGTGCCGTTCTGATGATTTGATGTGTCCAAGGATGATGGAGAGCCAGGCGCCAGAGTCTCATAGAATGAGGTGCAGGGTAGGAGACGGCAAGGGGAGGGGTGTGTAAAGGAGGGAGAGGGGCTAGGGTAGGGGGCCAGGGAAGCTGTGGCCATGCAGGGCTGGCTGAGTGCTGGCGTCTGCGTCTGCTGTGCTCACAGGATGACTGCGGAGAGAGACACAGCAGGTTAGGGTTGGAGTCACCTGTTGCTGCCCCTTCCCAGCATCCTGTGGCCTCAGAGCAGTCGAGGACTCTACCCTCCACTGCCTCCCGCTTGGGTACAAGTACTGACCGTCATAGCCCCTGAAACCCCCAACCCTGGTCCTCATCTGTGAAATGGATGTTGGAGAATGGCCCAGGGTCATCTACCCACGAGGGAGTAGGCCCCTCGGGGGCTAAGCTGCTAGGGACCAGATCCCCTGCAGGGGCCCTTACCCTGACCGAGATCCTGCTTGGACATGCCCAGCCCAGACGACAGATCCTCCATTTCCAGTGGGTCTGCAAAGGAGCACAGTGTCCACGTGTTAGCTGCAGCCCAGACTACCGCACCCGCTGACAAGGGGCCTGGGTGGGCTAGTTCTGCCCAACCTCGCCACGAGCCTGGTGCTTGGTAGAGCAGACATGAGTGGAAGGATGCTTGTTGGATGGCTGCAAGCGGCAATGAAGTGCGGCCGGGCAGTTAAGTGAGCAAGGCCAAGGAGGGGGTGATGCAATCAGATGGGTGGATCTGGAGACGCCTGGATGCATGCGTGGATGGGTAAAGTGGAAGGACTGAAGGATAAATGAGTAAGTAGATGAGTGTGGGCAAAGGAGAGAAATAATAAATGCACAAACAGATAAGGAATGCACAGGTGGGTGGATGCATGGCTGAGTGGCTGCCCCCCAGGAGTTGTCACCTCGAGTGTCCTGGCCCCAGGTGCGCCAGGAGAGACCTCCTGCCCCTCAGCCTTCCTGGTCCTTCCTGCTCCTGGCACAGCGGCCACTGCTTACCGCTGCAGTTATGGTGCCCACGGCTCCTGGTGTGGGGGACCTCGGTGCCGTTGGGGAAGACGCACCAGCAGTAGCCGATGCTCCCATAGCATTGGAGCGGCATATAGTTGCCATTCTCGTCGCACTTAGGCCTGAACATGCCCGGGTGGATGTCAGGGATGCGGCTGACCTCTTTCTGGCACTTGGTCAGTACTGAAGCGACAGGCACGGTGAACACAGTGAGTGAGCAAGCTCTGGGCCAGGGTCTCAGCAGAACCAGAGATCCACATACCACTGCTGTGGGCCTAATGCCTTCTGTCCAAATGGCTGTACTTGCTCTACCCATTGCACAGATGGAGAAACTGAGGCCTGAACCAACAAGGTCCAGGATCAAAGAGGAAGTGAATGGCTGTGTGGCTAATTCATCCCAGAACATGATTTCTTCAAACACTCAATGCCTATTAAAGTTTAGAATTGCACCTGTGATTCTGACTTCTAGAGAAAAGCAATGGACACCTTGGTAAGTCTGAGCTTGCATTACTGGGGGTATCCAAGTAGAAGTGGGGGTTACTATGTGATGGGGATGTTATAGAGGGGATTCAGACATTAGCTGGGAGTTGGTCGAGATCGCATCCAGTGTGCCCTCTATGACTCTGTGATGGAGAATCTGAGGCCCAGAGAGGGGTGGACCGTTGATCTTCCACTTCTGAAACTGAAGCCCAGAGGGAAGAGACTTGCCCAAAGTCCCACAACAAATTAGCACCAGGATGAGAACACAGGACCCATAAAGGTTTTAGGGCTGAAAACCCTGGTATACATTGTCCATGGGATGGAAAAACCCCAAGGCCCTCTTATCTAGTACCTGCTGGCTGTGTGACCTGGGAGAGGTCCCTTTGAAGGGCGAGAATCATGAGCCCAGCCCTCTCATGGGAACCTGCAGGGTGCAGTGCTGGGTGGGGAAGGTCATTGCCATGACTCCTGGGATGTTTTGGGTGGTTGTTGCTCCAGGCCCCCTTGTGCAGTACCATCCGCCACAACGAGGGTCACCTCCTGAAGGGAGGACTCGGTACCCCAGACAGGATGGGGGCTGGGGGCAGCCAAGCCCAGAAGAGCAGGCAGGAGAGACAGGAGTGAGAGCTGAGAGGCTGGGAGAGTCCTGTGCATGGATCAGGGAGTGCCTAAGGCTCTACCCCTGAGGGAGCTCCCAGAAACCCTGCCTCCCCAAGGCTCCCATTCCCTCTACCTTTTGGTGGAACTTCAAAAGGCTTCTCCTCCAGCGAGATCTTGCTCATTTCAAACAAAAGCCACTGATGCATCCAGCTCTCAAAGAGCTAATGGGGATAAAGGCAGAGAGTCAGGCTCAGTAGCCCTCTCCAACCCAGCCTGACTCTGTCCCTGGGGACAGAGACATGGAGGGCCAGCGGGAGCCTGCTTCCTCCTTAGAGACCCCACAGGGCTTGGTCACTCTTCCATGGCTGTGGTTTTCTGGGTGCTGGTAAGCCGCCTCCAGCTTCCTGAGAATGGCTTCCCTGCTCACCCCGCCTCTTCCCAGGGCTGCTCTAGATGTCAGGAGAGGGAGGGTACCAGGGCAGGGGAAGCTGCTGACCTTCCAGTTCATGCCATCCATGGTGTCCTTAAGGTGTTTCAGGTTTTCTGGGAAGCTCCCCTTCAGCTGCGGGTACACCTTCAGGGGGTCAGACTTCTGCAGGGTAGCAAGGCAGGAAGGAAGGTTAAAAAGCTTCCTGGCAGGCAAGGTTTAATGTGCAGCCCATGTTCCCCTGGTCTTCCGTTCTGAGGGCTGGACCCCAGACCTCAGCATGTTGGAGCTAGTGGGGAGGGGAAGTGGTCTGGGTAATACGGCTACACAGCTACAAGACCCCAGGGCTAGGAGTTGGGAGACCCAGTTCCAGGCCCAGTTCTACCAATAACCCTCAGTCTTCTACTCCTTGCAGGCTCCTGTTCATCTTTCAGGTCTCACCTCCTTCAGGAGGACTTCCTTGACCTCATCCCAACCGCCCAGCTAGGTTGGGTTCTCGGCCTCTTTCCTCACAAAGCCCCCTGCACACCCCTCATCACCTGGTCACCTGTCTCTCTCCCATGCTAGCCTGAGGTCTCCGTGGGACTAGGAGCTGGATCTGATTGCTCCCGATTGTGGGTCCAGAGCCTTGCACAGTGCCTGGCACTGAGTAGACATGCAGCAAAAATTGGGGAAG